CTCGAGCGAGCCGCAAGCATCGGCAGCCTTGGCCTGAGCAGAGCGGAGCTCGGCAAGTGCAAGGGCAGCCTGCTTGGCAGCGTTGGCGAGGTTGAGGGCAGCAGCGGGGTCGCCGACGGTGGGGTGGGCAGCCTTGGCAGCAGCAACCATCTTGACGCCGGGGTTGACGACCGCCTTGGTGGCGTTGATCAGGTTGAGCTGAGCGGAGGGAGTGTCGGGGTTGTTGGCGTGGTCGCGAGTGGCCGAGATGACCTGGCCAAGCGTGTCCTGGACAGCCTTGCACTGAGCAAGCAGCTGCTGCTGCGAAGCCTGGTTGCGGTTGGACGAGGTGGACGCCTGGGAGGCAGCAATGAGCTGGGTGGACGCGGCAGCAGTCTGCTTGGCAGCCTCCTCGAGCTTCTTCATGAGCTTCTTCTTGATGGCAGCGGCGGCAGCAGCGTTGGTGGCAGTGCGGAGCGCCTCAGCAGCCTCCTTGAGCTTGGCCTGGTAGGTGGCGTCGTTGGGGTTTTGGGCAGCCTCCTTGGCGGCAGCAATCATGCGAGCAGTGCACTCGGCGAGCTCCTTGGCGGCCGCGAGCAGCTTGCGCTGCTTCTCGGGGTCGGTCTCCTTGGCGGCATCAGCCTTGATGCAGTTGACAAGCTGCGAGGTGGCCTGGGCGAGGGCCTTGGCCTGACGAACCATCTCGGGGGCGTTGCCCATCGAGGCAAACAGCTTCTCGGTCGAGGCGAGAATAGTGTCGCAAGCCTCGTCGAAATCGTTCTGGGGCTTGGCGCGACCACCCTGCTGGGCCTGGGCAATCAGACGCTGAACAGCCTCCGAGACGGTGGCAGCGTTCTGCTTGAGCTCGGCCTTGGCAGCCTCGTCCTTGCAAGCAGAGTCGGCAGAGCCAACGAGCGAGTCGACAGAGTTGGTGACCTGCTTGGCAGACTCGATGAGCTGCTCCTGGCACATGGGCGAGTTGATGGACGGCGCGAGCACCTTGGTGCAGGCGACGAGCTGGGAAGTGCTCATGGCAGTGCCCTTGGCAGCGTTGATGACCTTGTTCTGGGCGGCAGGGTCGTCCGACTTGCTGGCAACCGTCTTGGCAGACGAGACGAGGTTGGTCGTCGCGGCGGCGATCGCCTTGCTGATGGCGAGGAGCTCCTCCTGGGAGGCAGCGTCGACCTCGGGCTCGCCCATGTGGGCGAGGAGGTCCGAGGTGGCGGCACCGATGGCCGAGGCGGCGGTGAGCAGGTCTTGGCGCGAGTCGGTCGAGCCGGGCTTGACCGAGTTGAGGAGCTTGGAGGTGGCGCCGGCGAGGCCGCGGGCAGCCTCGAGCAGACGATCGCTCGTGCCAGAGTCCGAGACGAGGGCAGCCATCATCTTGGCGTTCTTGGCGAGCTCAGTCAAGTTGGACGAGATGGTGGTGACGGCAGAGCCGACGGCAGTGTGGTCCACCTCCGAGGGTTCGGCGCCAGTGAGCGTGACGACGGACGCGGTCGCTGCAGTCATGGCGGCAAGCTGCGAGGCCATGTTCTGCTTGGACACGTCGAGGGTCTGCTGACGCCACTGGATGGAAGCAGGGTCGGTACCAAGCGGGGGCAGCGAGGCAGCAACACCAAGCTCGTTGGTGGCAGCGTTGACGGCGGCAAAGCCAGTCTGAACAGTGCCCATGAGGGCGTGCTGGGCGGCACCATGGCCGGAGGCATCGGCCATCGACATGCCCATGTGCGCCTGCTGGCCAGTGGCCGACATGCCAGAGCCGTTGTAGCTCGAGTAGCGCAGCTGCTGAGCGCCAGCGCGGCCAAACTGGCCAACGCCAGCACCAGCCGAGCGAACAATTCCGGGGAGGGCGACGCTGCCTTCGGTGGCATAGCCCAGGGCCGAAGGGACGTGCTGGATGGCGGTGGCCTTGCCAGCCGAGACAGAGTCCTCGAGCATGAGCTGCTCCTCGCCGTCTTCACCGACGCCGCGGTCAGAGTTCTTCTTCTTCTTCAGGATAATGTCAATGTAACCGGCAATGAGCTGGGAGATGGCATCACCTTCGCTGGTCTGGACAGAGTAGTACGACTCGGAGTAGTCGCCGAAATCGAGGGTGAACGAGTTGGGCGAGGCGGCCCAGCGACGGACCTGGGTGAGCTGCCAGGTCTTGAGGACCTCCTTGGTCTTCTCGTCGACACGCATAATGTTGTCGCGCGTGATGCCGAGCAGACGGGGGACGAGCTTGTTCTTGCCGCGCTCCTTCTCCTTGACGAGGAAGAAGGTGACACCATAGGTCTTGAGCGAGCGACACAGCTGAATGTAGCGGTACTTGGCGTTGAGCTCGGTCATGGAGTGGAGCTTGGCATGCTCCTGGAAGATGCGCTTCTCGACAGACTTGTTCTTGGCGTATTCCGGGGGAAGCAGGCCCTTGATGTCAAAGAAGCCGGGCTTGTGCTTGTCGGGCTGGTGGTCGCCAAACTGGACCTGGCACTGCATGGCCGCAAACTGGCAGGCCTCCTCCTCCGTGCACGGATGGGTGCCGTTGAGGATGGCGTCGCGGGACTGCACGTACAGCAGGTTGAGCTGGACGGGGTCGTTGCGGTCGACGTTCTGGTCCGAGAAGAAGAACTTTTTGCGGAGCAGCAGGACTTGGGTCTCGTCGATACCCTGCTCACGAAGCGAGCGGTCGTTGAGGAGCCAGCCAATCTCGTCGTCCGTGTGGAGCTTCTTCTTGAGCTTCTCCATCTTCTCGCGGTCCTTCTTGGAGCGAGCGAGCTCCTCCTCCTCGTCACGGTCGCGGGGCTTCTTCTCCTCCTCCTTGACCTCCGCCTCGCTGACAAAGGCAAACTCGTCCGGGTTGTTGATGCCAATGCGCGAGCAGACAGTCTTGACGAGATCGCCAACCGACTGCGAGTCGTCCACGAGCACAGTCTTGAGGGTGCCGTCCATCAGGCGCACACGCAGAGGGCGGTGCTTCTTCTTGTACTCGAGCATGTCACCCGACTTGAGATCGTAGTAGTTCAGGGTGCGGCCGGGCTCGAGCCAGCGGCCCTTCTTGGGGTCTTCGTCGGGCCAGAACAGACCGTGATCCGTGCCGCCAGTGTTGGCCTCGCCAAGACGGTCGCGAATGTCCTTGCAGATGTCGTGGACAATCATGTCCGGGTCGAACTGCATTGTCTTGACATTGTTTGTCTTGACAATGTGCACACGCAGAGAAAGAGACGCCATTGTTGCCAGTAGTTCTTGTTGTCCGTTGAAAGTACGAGTACCTTGTTTGATTTTTTGCACGAGAGAGTTTTTCTGTTTTGAGAGAGAGAGAGAGAGAGAGAGAGAGAGAGGGTGTGTGTGTGTGTGAACAAGCCAAAAAAAAAAAAAAATCAGTGAGAAAAATAAAATCCCAAAACAGAAACAAAACGATCGACGATTTTAATAATTTTTGTTTTGAAAAAAAAAAAAAAAAGTTGCCCCAAAAACGTTTCTGGGTTTTGAAAAGCGATGATTTTTTTTTTTTTTTTGGTTTTTGTTGTGTGTAGAACGAACCGAAAAAATAAAAAATACAATAAAAATACAAAATAAAAATCGGGCGGTTTTGCTTTGGGTCAATGAACCCGTTACAACAGCGTTGGCCTGAGAAGACCAAAAGAGCGTCATTGTGACACTGCGCCAGCACACACCGCGCACAACCAGAGCGGCAGCACAGGCACTCGCTGGCACGAATGGGAAAGAGAGAGAAAAAAAATAACGGAAGAAAAAAAAAAAAAAAAAAAGACAAAAACACAACAGAAAATGGAAAGCGATTTTTTTTTTTTGTTTGGCGAACAGGGCTGGAGCAGCGTCTCATTGCGGCGCAAGAGACAGGCATCATCGCACACAGCGTTGCACCACCAACACACAGCACGGATGCAGGCCAGCATGAGTGCGGAGGTTGCGCTACCAGTGGCTGCACGACAGGTGAGCTGTTGTTGTTGTGTTTTTTTTTTGTTCTTTTCTCTATCAATTGCATTTTGATTTTTTTTTTTTTTGTTTGCGTAGATTCAGGAAACGTCACAACAGCCTTGGCTTCCTGCCAACGTCTTGTTCTGCAAAACCGCAAGTGTGTGTGCCAGCACAACACGCTGCCGATGCGGCCGGCACATCAGGAGGCAGACGACCAACGACAGCAGCCGCAAGGCAAAGCGACAAAAAACCTCCCCGAAAATAGACAAGAAAAACGAAAAAAAAAACACGGAAAAAAAAGAAACGAAAACGAAAAAAAGAAAAAAAAAAAGACAACATGTGCAGTTGCCCAGCAATAGGCTGCTGAAGGACACTCAATGACAACGAGAAGGGTGCGGGACTATAAGGGGGATGGGCGGTACCTTTGGTCCTGTTCAAACACTGCCGCCAAGCTGGTCTGAATAATCGCAAGGAAAAAACAAAAACAACGAGCAAAAAAAAAGAATAAAACAAATAAAAAGACTGTGGAAATGAATGAATTGGGCTTTTTTTTTTTTTTTTTTTTTTGTTAATATCGTTGATCAAGATCCCACAAAGGCAACAAGATCCATGGATGAAAATACACTCGAGTTACCCAACACCATTCGTCATTCTTCCCACGAAACGCGTTGATGCATGTCACGAAACACTGTGTTTGTGAAACAAAACCACTGCTTATGCGGTCAGCCGAAAAAAGAAACGGCAACCAAACTGCAAGCAGCAATCAACCGCAAGGTGCCGCCAAGAAAAATATTATAAAATAAAATAAAATAAAATCTCCCCCTCCGTTCTGAGACGGATTGCGCGATATTCAATGCGGTGATTGTTCAAGCACAAGCAAGCAGGGAAAACGCGCGACAACTCCCAGCGCATCAACCGTGAAGAAGAAGGACATAAATGAACAACAATAAAACGACAGCAGCTTTTTTTTTTCTTTTTTCTTTTTTTCGGGTCCACCAACACAACGAGCGGCTTTGTCACAATACACAATTTGCAGGACAGCTAACAGATCACAAACGAAAACACAAACACACACACAAAATTGTTGGGTGCGAAAACTACAGTCTGGTCGACAAAATGTTTTCTGTATTTCGGCGTTTTGCTTTTCATCCTCACAGACATGCCAAAATGAAAACAACAAAAAAACAGGGACAGCTTTACAGGATGGACTTGGGGAAGAGGCCAAGCTTGACGTACTCATCGACGACGTTCTTGAGGGCGTCCTTGGTGAGCTGCGGCTGGGTGTAGGAGAAGCCGAGCTTTTCAATCTTGGAGCCGTCAACGGTCGTGTTGTTGTTGTACAGCAGCTCTTGGTCGAGGTAGGGGCTGAGAGGAGTGTTCTCAATGCCGTCGGCCTTGAGGAGCTTCGACCAGGGGTCCATGTGCGACTCGTTGACATCCTCGGTAATGTTCTTCATGTTGAGCTTGGCCAGGTTGGACTGGATTGAGCCGGCGTACGAGTGCTTGATGCCAAAGATCTGATCGAGGATGGTGCTGACAGTGTCCTGGGACGTGTCGCCCTTGTCCGCCAGGTTGTAGATCTCGCCGCTGTTGCCGTGGTCGGTCAGGTAGAAGAGGGCGCGCGCAACGTCGTCAACATGTACAGTGTTGAGGCGGAGCTTCTCAGTCCACAAAAGCTTCATCTGCTCGTTGAGGCTCTTGTAGACGGCGCCGATAATCAGACGCGGGGTCAGGCCGAGCAAATCGCCAGTGCCGTAGACGATGGCGGGGCGAACAATGACATAGTTCAGGCCGGCAATGCCCTTGATGGCCTCCTCAGCCTTCAGCTTGTATTGCGCAATGGTAGTCCACGGGTTGAGCTTGTCCGTCTCCGTGCTGGCATCCTTGTCGCTGCTGTACACCTGGGCGGTCGACACCTCAATAAAGCGCTTGACGCCGCGCTTGGCAGCCTCCTTGGCGACGCACACCGACAAGCTGAGGACCTTCTCTTCGTAGATCTAAGAGATGGAGAGAGCAGGAGCAGAAAATGGAAGAAGAAGAAGAAGACGAAGAAGAAGAAGAAGTGAGAGGAAGGAAAAGAGCAATGAAATAATCAACTTGTGGTTTTGCGAGAAAATCACAGATCGTACCTTCTCAGTCTGGCCGTACTTGGTCTCAGCAGCGAGGTTGATGACAAAGTCGAACGAGGCGCCAGCGTTGTCGAAGGCGTTGGCAGTGGAAGCTGCACAGGCAAGACAAAACCCCCCGCCAAAAAACAAGCAGTGAGCAACAAACAAAAAACCAAAAACCAAAAAACCAAAAAAAAAAAAAAAAAAAAAACCACAACGTCCACAGAGTGACAAACGAGATCAATCCAACAACAAGACGACACTGAATCAAGCAAGACATCAAAGCAGCACAGCTCAAGATCCGGGCGTACTCACCAGCGTTGGTCAGGTTGCCCTGGACAAACTCAACACCAGCGAAAGCCTTGGTTTGGCGCTCAGTCAGCCAAGCGGTCTGGGGCAAGACCTTGTCGACGACGCGGATCTTGCTGGCAAGGCTGTTCTCAACGAGATGGACGATCAGGTTGCGGCCGATGAAGCCGACGCCTGCAAAACGATGCAAGTCATCACAGTGAGCTCAAAAAACATAAAAAAAACAAACAAAAAATAAAAAAAACCAAAAAAACAAAAAAAAAAAAATAAAAAATAATAAAAAAATAAAATAAAAAGAAGGAAAAGGAAAGCCACAATACAAACAAACAAACCAAACAAATAAAAAAAAAATAACGGAAAATAACAGGCTTTCTGTTCTTCCACAGCGACCTCACTCGCGCAGGCTCAGCCATGGAACGACACACACGCACCAACGCTCTCAGCAAGAGGCGCAGGCAAGCGAGCCGGGCAAGCAGACCACCCCGCTGATGAAGCGAATTGCAACCAGAATCGCAAGCAAATCGAAAAACATAAAAAAAAAAATCGAGATCGAAAAATCTCTCGTGCTTGAGAGCATTCTGCTGCATCGAGCTTCGGTCACGGCACACATCGACGCTGAGGCGCATCTGGAGATCGCCAGACGGCGGTGCGCAGCTGACACGAAGCGAAATCGTTGTCTCTCACACTCATGAGAAGAAGCAGAGATTGAAAATAAACAAACTTAAAAAAAAAAAAAAAAAAAAAAAAAAACTCTCCAACCAGCTTGTGTCGCCAACTCGCTCCGTTTCGAGCGGCAAGGACGGGCCCGCGGGAGAGAGGAACACGTTGGCTTTCCATTCGAGCCCAATGCGAAGCGGGTTCGCGGAGATCAACGACACGAGGCGAAAAACGAAAAACGAAAAAAATCGACGATGACCGAAAAGTGAAAGGAAAAACGCTCCAAAAAAACAAAAAAAAAAAAAAAACAAAAAAAAACAAAAGCAATTCACCACTCACCGCCAAGGACGAGAATGGAGGGCTTGGACATGGTTCAAACAACAAAAACTAAATGTTGGAGTGACCGTGGTGTGAGTTTGGTGAAGACGGTACAAATACAATGACACGTTTAGCACAACATGAAGTGATGCACTCCAAACCCACGCCAGATGCAAAAAAAAAAACAACCACCATTGTGATCCTAAGCCCTTTTGTCGCCCACCCAACTCCAATCCATTTGCAAAGCCTTAAGAGAGGCGAAGACAGCTTTATTGAAGGATCACTCGATCACAGTGTGTCGCGCTAGATCAAGGTCAGGTGCAACGTTTTCCCCAATACAATTCTGTGCAAAAGTAGAAAAGCTTGCAAATTGGTGCCATTTATTTTCATCCATCAAGAGCAGACGCATAGTTTAGACGCATAGTTTGGACAGTCCGGAGCATTCAGCTCAAAGTACAAGGAAGCTTTCGGATCGGCGGTGATGCTCCGCCATGGAATGTCCTGCGGACAGAACTTTGCGTTGGCAAAAGCAAACACTCCTCCAGCGCCAATTCGCACCAGACTCTTTTTGAGGGGTTCCAAAGAGGTGACACCATTGAGGTGGTGCAACATGAGCGCCCATGACTTTTCCCAAAGTCCAGTGCCGACAATGGTGCGGAGGCTCCCCAGGCCGTCGAGCGTCGTCATTGCTGGGTTTTTCCAAAGGCGGAGATAGCCGCTAATCTCGAGCACATGGGTGAAGGCAGACTTGATCCCGCGCAGGACGGCGTTGTTCTCAATGTGAATCGGACCTGCGGTGGTGGTAATCCCTTGCAGACCCTCAATGCTGAGCAGACGCGGATTGTCGGAAATGATAATTCCGTCACGCACAAATCCGAGCTTGCGGAGCGAGTCCAGATTGGCAAGCAATGCATTGTCTTGCACCATCAGCGAAAACCTGTTGCCGCTCCACAGGTAGCCTGGCAAGTTGTCGCCAATATCACGGAGCGCGGTGAGGCCGCTGAGCGACTCGAGCTTGTTGACGCGCGAGATGCGCAGGTAGCCTCCGACATGACGCAAGTGACCCAAGCCTCGGTCGTCCGTGAGCGCGGCCAGATTCTGAATGTCGAGAAACCCTTCAATGACCTGCAAGCTGGCGAGTGCGGACAAGTCCGTGATGGTCTCGTCGTCGGGCTGTCCGTTCGACGGACCTATCCGTACACCTCCAATCACGTGTGTGCACTCGGCCAGCAGGCGAACGAGCTGCTCCTGGTTTTTGGCATGGAAGATGCGCGATCCACGGGGGCCTTTGGCCTGGGCAACGCAGCGAACCAGCACGTCGGGCTCGACGGGCGCGGCCGCCATGCCACGACTCGCCGCCACAGCCTCCTCTGCCTCGCGGAGTTTGCGATCTGCCGCAGCGGCAGCCATGAACTCTTCGTTTTGCAGCTCGACAAACGGCGCGGGGTCGAAAATGTTCTCATCGTCATTGAAATCACCGTTCACGACCTGGTTGGCCTCTTCCGTGTAGAGCGACTGCTTGTGCTTGTCTGTGAAATCGCCTTCCTCTGCGCCAGCGGCTTCTCTGCTGATGGCATCGGACGATCCACTCAGATCGCCGCCTTCGTCGTACTCTGCATGCGACGGGTTGTGCGGGCCGTGAAGTCCATTGGGATCGAAGGTGACCGTTCCGTCCGCCTCCAAGCGCCAGCCCTTGCCCAGCTTGCTCAGCACTTGCTCTGGGATTTGCTGCGCGAGATTGTCTTCCGAGGAGTACTCGTCCTCGTCCTCGTACTCGTCGGCATGGCGCTCGGTTGCCATTGTTGTCGTCCCGCTGTCGGCCAATCCGTCGCGGTCGCCAATCAGCCCTGCGTTCAGGACGTCGTCCGCGTCGGGGTCGTACAGGTCAGCGCCAGGGTTCTCGCGGGCATGCATCTGCCGAGCGTGTGTCGGCGTCATCCATCGTGGTCCGACCACCAGCAGCAGGCAGAGCATCATGAGCGAGACGAGAACAAAGGATTGCTCCCTGTGCTTGCTGGCTGGCGTTCTGCTTCCTGGCTGAAGTCGGCGCGCGTTCATGATGGAATAATGAACTGCAAAAATGAACAAAAACAAGCAAAAAAGCAAGGAAATGGGAGGGACTTTGCCGAACGAACGAAGATTTGAAGATTGGAAAGATGGAAAAGATTGAGCTTCGACCAACTTGACTTGGAGTTGTACTACGACCGAATGCACAGTAATTCATGATCTCACAATGCTAGTGAACCACCAGACCGCATCTCGTTCCTTTGTGTAGAGTGGCAGCTAGCTTTGAGCCATTGCCAGACGAAATCGAAATCCCCCACAGTTTTAGTCTACATTTATCATACTTGCCTATCTATTCAGTCCAACAGAAACACACACAACAAAATGACAGACGAGCTGTCTGGACAAGCACCTCCACCACCGCCATTGGACGCGAGCACCGTGTTTGCCAACAAGATTACTTCGGGCATCGATCACGGCGCCGTCAATGACATGCTACGGCAGCAGCGGCTAATGTGAGCACACACCCCCCCCCCCAACTCTTGTTGATCTTGCGATGGGTGCACCCGTCGGACGCAAAGCGGGGGCCGCAAGCAACAGTGGGAGGGACTGCACTGAACTTGGAGCTTGCTTTGGGCTGGAGCAGACTCGGTCGCTTTGAGCGGACGAACGCGCGGCTGTCCCGCTTCAACGAGCATCTGGACAGCGTGCTTGGAGCTCACACTGCTCGGTTCAAGTCATACACACACCAGCTGGTGGACGCCAAGAAAGACCTCGAGTCCATCTTTCGTCGAATCCGGTGAGGCGCTTTTTGTGTTTTGCTGTTGGATCGCGTTGATGCTGAGCATTTGTTCATTGAGGAATTCAACAAGAAGGATGTTCATGATTTCAACAAAATCGAGGCGACTCTGTTTGTTGATACTTGGACGGCGCCGAGCGTCGGTGGATGTTGAACATCTCTCATCACTCACCGCGAGTTCGCTCTCTGCTGTCAGCGCATTGCGGGCCAAGCTCACTCAGCAGTATCCCGAGGCCTTCTTTGGACTGGAGATGCCCGGCAACATTTCAGATGACGACGATGATGATTATGGCGACGAGGACGAAGAGCACGACCCAAGGTCGAAGACGGCTGCGCGACCACAACACCCAGTCGAGCAGGAATCAGCCGCGACCGAGTCAAGCGAGGTGGCCGCTCCAGCCGATGATGGTGCTGCGCCTGATTCGGCTTGAGAACTGCCGAGGGCCACTTTGGCACACCCAACACCAGACCAAACGCTGTTCATTCGAGTTGAACTTCATGCTAACACTTTCAACACACTTCTTCAGCCTTCCAATCCCGCCGAAAGCCTTCGGAATCGCGCCATCAACCTTACATAACGAGTGACCTTCGATCTGGAACTTTGACACGCCGACAGATTCCTTGTTCAGTTTGCAGGTTGTTCGAGTTCCGACATCTCAATGAATTGCACGGCGCTCTGGCATCTTCCAGCCGCTCTTCTTGCTGTTCAAAAGCTGCTCTCTGCTCTTCCAACCCCCATGTCATTATCATCTGTATTATAGTCCTCCGAGCCCTTCCAACTGCTCAGCTGCAGCGTCTTCCCATGATTCGCAAACATTGAATCACTTCAACTCCGTTCACGCCAGTCGCTCCCGCGCTTACAAAGTCCAGATAAATTTAGAACAAGCTCAGTGCTTGCCTCATTGTTTCTTGGTTTTGTTCATCCCTTCCAAGTGTCGTCGTGGCAGGAGGAACAGTGGAGAGCTGACATAACGCGCCAGCGCGGCACTTTTTGTGAGTGTTCGCTTTTTGGTGGTGTATTCCTCGTGCATGCAGCCGGCCGTGCTGTCTTTGAGATGTGTTTTCCGAGCAGCTACACGTCGTTGGTGTTGGTCTGTGGATTTTTGCTCGCCGTCCTTTTGCGAAACAACTGCTTTTGAAGCAGTTTCCAAATCCGAATCGCAGCCATTTCTCATTTTGATGTATGTTTTTTTTTTTCGTTTTTTTTTTTTTTATCTTTTGTGATTTTTTGCGTTTGACTCACTCTCCTTCCTTGCTTCATCCCATTCCCATTCCCATCCCCACCCCCCACGAAAACGCAGAAAACAACCACCACAATGGGCAACGTCTTTGGCAACCTTTTCCGAGGCCTCTTCGGCAAGAAGGAGATGCGTATTCTCATGGTCGGACTCGATGCCGCCGGCAAGACCACCATTCTCTACAAGCTCAAGCTCGGCGAGATTGTCACCACCATCCCCACCATCGGTACGTCGCATCCCCATCTCTTCTTCTGCTTGTCTCCATCCTCCCCCCCCTCTTCTCGGACGGCCCGTCGCAGCGCAATGAACCAACGATTCTATTTTCAATTCTATTATTGTCCTTGATTTTTTTTTTTTTTTTTTTGGTTTTGGCTTGGATTTGGCTTCAACGTGGGGCTTTTTTTTTTTTTTTTTTTTTTTCCAAACGGCTTTTGCTTGAGCGTTTTGCTCGTCTTGCCGCCTTACACGGTGGGCCGCTCCTGATCGCCGACCCAACGATCAAACACGCGGGGTGGCCGGGCTCGGTCTGCGGTCGTAGCGATGTCCGCGGCATCGAAAGAGCACGAGGACGGCCAAAAAAAAAAAAAAAAAAAAAGAATTGAACAAAAAAAAAATGAAATTAAAAAAAAAAACTTTCAAAAAGAAGCCAGCCAGCCACGTCGACTGGAACTCGTGCGGCGCTCGCTGGCCAGTGCTGAGGCAGTGTCTGGTTTGCGAGGATGGTTGCGTGGGCCATGTTGGGCGAGCGGCGAACAGGAAGAGTCCCTTCGTTTTGGAGGGAACGATGGCCAGGTTATCGAAACCAGCGAACGCCACAACATGTTTTGCATTGACATTGCTGACTTTTTTTTTTTTAATAATTTTTTTTTGATTTTTTCGTTCAGGCTTCAACGTTGAAACTGTCGAATACAAGAACATCAGCTTCACCGTGTGGGACGTCGGTGGTCAGGACAAGATTCGCCCCCTCTGGCGCCACTACTTCCAGAACACCCAAGGTAAGCAAAGCACCAGCACGAACGCAAGAACGGAAGGAAAGAAAACAACAAAAGGAAAAAAAACCAAAAAAAAAAACCACGAAACAATTTTCCACACAGCGCGCGAAGAAAAAAAAAAAAAAAACGGAAAAAAGAAAAAAAAAATTAGGCGATCGCTTTTTTTTTTTTTTTTTTCCCTTGTTGAGTCTCGCTGCTGGGGAGGTTGGTTGTCCAAGTCGCCCGGGGCGCGTTGCCCCTCGATTCTGCTTGGAATCTGGCCTCGGTTCATCGACTCGGAGGGCACGAGATGATTGAGCAGCTCGGTGGGGGCGGTTTTTACGGCGAACTGCGTTCGTTCGTTCAGCAAACTGGTTTTTTTGTGATTTATTATTTTATTATTTTTTTTTCCAGTGCGTGTCAGCTGTTCCTTTTCGTTTGCCTCTGCGTCGTTGATCGTCTTATCATCCTGTTGCTGTTGTCGTTGTTGTCGTTGTTGTTTTCGAGCTGATGCGGATCGGCATCTTGAGGCATTTCTGTTTTGTCTGACCAAAACTTGTCTCGTTCCACCTCCCTCACTCATCAGGCCTCATTTTCGTCGTCGACTCGAACGATCGCGAGCGCATCTCCGAGGCTCGCGATGAGCTTATGCGCATGCTTTCTGAGGACGAGCTCCGTGACGCTGTCGTGCTAGTGTTTGCCAACAAGCAAGACTTGCCCAACGCCATGCAGACGCCCGAGATCACCGACAAGCTTGGCCTGCACTCGCTCCGCCAGCGCAACTGGTTCATCCAGGGCACTTGCGCCACTTCCGGCGATGGTCTTTATGAGGGTCTTGACTGGCTCGCATCCCAGCTCAAGAACCAAAAGAACTAAGCTTTGGTCGACCGCAGCTTGATATCTTCCCTTATCCTAGTTCCGCTTGTTTTTTTTTTTTCGTCGTTGTCCTACTCTTTTTTTTTTTGTTTTGGTTGTTTGTGGTTTCGGTTTTGGTATCGTTCTGGTTTTGGCTTTTGTGCGGGCCATGCTTTTATTATTGGCGCCCGAAGATCAAGATTGGTTTTCGACCGTTTTGACTCTGATGCGAGTGTGTACAGGTGCTGTCATGGCAGCCTGTCAATCTCATCGACACAACACAAAAAAAAGCAAACACCACGAAGAAGTTGCCTTTGCGCTCCCAGACTTTTGTTGATTGTTTCTTTTTTTTTGTTTCTTGTGAGTGTATCTTTTCCACAACAATTGGAATTTTTTTGATCTTCTACTGTTGCCGTTTCATTTGATGATGTTTCCAGGTCCACCTGTGTAGTTTGAGCTGCGTCGTACTTTCAAAACAGACAAAATGACAAAGAAGAAATTTATGTTTCCGACAACATGCACACTTTGAAGAGCAATCACAGAGACAGAATTATGCAGAGAGAATGCGAGTCAGCAGCGCCTGGTCGGCATGATGCGGCATGGTGACCGTAAGAAGGGGCTCCTCCTTCATGGCGGCGCGAATCTGGAACTCGGCATTGTCAACGCCAGCCCAAGCACGACGGGCAATGCCGTTGTTCACGTCCCAATGGAGCATGTGTCGGGCACGACGTTCGGCGTCGCTCGAGCCATCCAAAACCATGCCAAAGCCGCCATTCATGGCCTCGCCCCAGCCCGTGCCTGTGTGAGCAAGGACACTTGAGGATTAGTCGATGAACCAAGCAGTGCTTTCAGACACAAACACACGTACCGCCACCGTTGTGGATGGAAACCCAAGTTGCGCCACGGAAGGAGTCGCCAATGACGTTTTGGATGGCCATATCTGCGACAAAAGCATCCCCCAAATGAGAGCACCTTTTTTTTGTGCAAAGTAACAACCAAGCTCTTGCCGACTTACCGGCACAAAACATGGAGCCATCGCGAATGTGCGAGGTCTCACGCCACGGGGAATCTGTGCCACTGACGTCGTGGTGGTCGCGGCTGAGCACGACAGGACCAGACAGACGACCCTCGCGCAGAGCAGTGTTCATTGCTGCAGCGATGCGGGCGCGGCCAGTGGCATCAGAGTACAAAATACGGGCCTGCGAGCCAACCACAAGCTGGTGCTCGTCCACCGAGGTAATCCACAGCAGGTTGTCGTCGTACTGCATGCGGGAGCGGTCGCTGGCCTCCTTCATGGCTTCGCGAATCACTTCTGCCGCCAGCTGGTCTGTGAGCAACAAGTCTTCACGCTTGCCCGAGGTGCACACCCAGCGGAACGGGCCGAATCCCAGAGAGAAGATGTCTGCAAACAAGTCCAGAGGGTATGCCGTGTGAGCAACAACAACTTCTACAACAACAACAACAACAACAACAGCGAAAACAGAAAGTGACATCCAAAAGCAAGCAACAAGACGTTGGAACATACCTCCCATAATGTCCTCCACGTACGACGGGTACAGGAAACCACCGTCCGGGCGAAGAATGTTTGCGCCAGCTCGCCCGGCTTGCAGCATGAACGAGTTGCCATAGTCCCAGAAACGCATGCCGCGAGCAACCAGACGATTGATGGCATCCACTTGGCGACGGAGACTGTCGTTGACAGCCTCGCGGAAAGCCTCAGGCTTCTCTCGCATCATGGTGTTGCTTTCTTCGTACGTCAGACCAGCGGGGTAGTAGCCGCCCATGAACGGATTGTGCAAAGACGTTTGATCCGAGCCCAACTCGACCAACAGCTCAGGCTCCTTGGCAAAGTGCTCCCAGAGATCAACGACATTGCCCTAAAAAAAGAACAGGTGTAGAAGGGATGAATCAAAAGCGCCTCCAAAGAGAATCAACCGACATTTTGCAACCCTCCGATACAAACAGACTCCACGCGCTTGAATCTCATACCAAGTAGCCAATGCTCACAACCTCGCGTGCCGCACGAGCCTGTTTGATGCGAGCAACAAGCGCAGTCAAGTCCGAGTGGTACTCGTTGAGCCAGCCTTGGCGGTGTCGTTTGCGAAGAGCATCGCCTGCAGCAACAAGGCAGGAAAAACAAAACAAAGATTGGCGCGATGGTTTCAGCAACAAGAGCATTCAATCTTCACCAGAAGAGCGAGCCTACCGTTGATCTCAGCGACGACAGCAATGGCCTTGCAAATAACACCAGCCTTCGGCTGCGCACCGCTCATGCCTCCCAGACCAGACGTAACAAACACCTACAGGCAAAGCAAGCAGAGGTAAGAATATTGCCCATCACGCTTGGCGTGAAATTTCCGAGGTATGCAAAGACAAACAAACAAACAAACAAACAAACAACAAACAAATAAAAATTCACCTTGCCCTGCAGCTCGGAAGAGCCAAGATACTTGCGCCCAGCGTTGAGCAGAGTCAGCGTCGTTCCATGAACAATGCCTTGAGGGCCAATGTCTGCGTGTCAAAACCCCCAGAGTGAGAGCATGGCAACTCGTGAAAACCTGTACAAATGCGCCAAAAAATGCTCCCATACAGCAGTAGCTGCCAGCAGTCATCTGGCCGTATTGCGAAACACCCGTAGCGTACATGCGTTCGTAGCTATAAGGGGACAGATTTCAGAGTAGACTCTCAAGATGAGCAACGAGGACGAGGAACAGAGTCAGTCAGAAACGCAAGAAGAACGACTCACTCGGCAGGACTGCTATAGTTGGGAACCACCATGCCGTTGGTGACGACAACACGGGGACCTTCGCGGTGGCTCGGGAAGAGGCTGCAGATTTCACAAAAAGAAGCAAAATACAAGCAAGGAAGCCAATGAGAACCAGTAATGCTCGGCGAGTCCATTGGTTGCGGTACTTACCCAGCAGGATGGCCCGAGTACATGGCAAGCGTTTGCTCCTCGGTCATTTGGCTCAGATAGTGCATGGCAAGAAGGTATTGCGCCCTGAAATGCCAAACATTTAGTTGGAAAGAAATTTGCGAGTTTGTGCAACACACAAGCTGGGAACCAGTGCGTACCAGTTGGAAAACACGGAGCCGTTTCCACCGTAGGTGATGAGCTCATGCGGGAATTGGGCAACTTCAATATCCAAGTTATTCTGGATCATGACCATGATTGCGGCGGCTAACCAAAAAAAAAGAAAAGAAAAAAAAAGTGAACACAACAAAACAACACTGTTACAGCCAGCCATCGGGTGGGTGGCTTTACCTTGAGTGCACTTGGCAGGGTAGAGGTGGATTGGGTGGGCCTTCATGGTGTAGCTCGTCGGACGCAGGCGGTACATGTAAATGTGGCCATAGACGTTCAGCTCGTTCAAGAACTCTGGCGCAAGTGTCTCGTGCAGCTCGGTCGCAAAGTAGCGCAGCGCGTTCTTGAGTGCGAGCTGTTGTTTTGATGATGATTGAAGAAGACGATCATATATTCAAGTCAATCAAGGCAAGTCGCAGTAAGTTGGATTGGGCAAATTTGGATCAATGAAAACGACACACACACACATCTCTCTCTCTCTGCGCAAATACGAATGCGCATCGTCGTTCCACTGCATTCTCACACGACTGTGATGGGTGCGCAGTGACTGACTGGCTGTTACTGACGGACTGCGCAAAATCGAGCCACAGTCACGCACGTCCTCATTTTGCCAATGTTCCGACGCCCTTCCTCTTCTTCTTCTTCTTCCGAAGCACTCGTTGCAGTGACACACTCATCACAACAACAAACAACAAACAAGAACAAGAAATAGGGAGAGGCGCACCTGCTTCTCGGCGGGAGTCAGCTTGGGATTGCGCGCTGGCGCATGCGGGACGCTGGGGTCACGGTCTGTGGCAGGCTTGGGAGGCAGACCAGCCAGCGTCGTCGGGAGACCAGCCGCAAGCACTGCGAGCTGAGTGCGAAGCTCAACCTCGGCTGCAGATGTGGCTGTGGCAAGTGGGATGGCTGGGAAGTTGGACATTTTGGGATGTTCGTCGGAGAAGATTCGCAGCAGAAAAAGACTGAAATCCTGCGAAACTGTGTGTGGCTGCTGGGCTTCATCCAAAAGCAAGTTACATACCCCAATCAGTTGCTCATCGACACACATGTCTGACATCGAGTATCGTCGCAAGAGCATTGATCCAGATCCAGATACTGTACAAATTCAACGCTCCGACATGCATCAACCGATGAAACTTTTCGTCTCTGTCCCCCCTCTCCCGCTCCACCCTTATCCCTTGAACAGGACTAGGCTTGATGTGGAGCAGTGTTGGCTTTGGATGCAAGCTCAGAATTCGGTCTCCCCTTTTTGGGAGTTTTAGTTTGGATTCCCTTGTCATCAGTCCTCATCCTTCCATTCATTCTTTTGCAACCACGAGCGCGACTGGGGAACGACGGAAGGTGCAGCGGCTGGCCGCCGGCAACCGCACCAGCACCATCAGTAGCATCAGCTCAACCAGCCACCAGGGGATGGGTCTGCTCTCGACCGAGTCGCTGGCTGGATCGGTCGTTACGCTGACGGGTTCAATGGTGAACGCCGACATCGCCAGGACCGAAGACGACCAGCAGCAACACCACCACCACCACCACGGTGGCACCACCTCCGGCAGCAGCAATCACAGCCCAGATAAAAACGCCATCTCGGGCCAGCTCCAGCTCACCATCGAGCGAGCAGCCGACCTCGTCCCGAAGGAATTTAACGGTAACAACGCTCTGCGTTTCAAAAAAAAAAAAAAAAAATCAAAAAAAAAAAAAAAAAAAAGCAATTGAAAATGTGTTTGAACGTTTTTTTTTTTTTTTTTTTTTGATTTTTTTTGTGATTTTTGTTTGATTTTTGCTTTTTTTTTCTCACGGATTTCTATTGTATTTTGGTGCTGCATTTTGTGTGTACTCGCATGTTGTGTGTGTGTGTATCGTATCAACGATTCTGTTGCAATCGTATCGGTTGGGTTGCGGGAAACAGGCAAGCTCGATCCGTACTGCATGGTGCTGGTGGACAATGTCGAAGTGGAGCGAACGGCAATCGTGAACAAGACGCTGCAGCCCGAGTGGAACGCCGTGTTTGACTTCCCAGTGCACTACGCAAGCACATTCAAGTTCGTCGTGATGGACTGGGACCGGTGGCGCGCACACGAGCCCTGCGCCAGTTGCGAGGTCTCTGCCGCTGCGTTGCTGCGCGACCTCGACGCCAACAACGCTCCCCGCGCCAACCAGCGCATCGCACTGCCCCTCCAACCTGCGGGTCTGATGCACGTCATTGTCACGTTCAAACCAGACGCGTCCACCGAGGCCTTCAGGCGAGTCCCCAAACGCGTATGTACTTTTTGCCTCAGTTTCGCCTAAATCTCACCTCATCTTTTTTTTTTTTTTTTTTTTTTTCTTCTTTGGATTTGTGTTGTTCCCGCTCTCTTGGATTACAGGCAACATGTCAATGAAGCAGCCGTCAAGGAGCGTGCCATCGCCATGTTTGACAAAATCGCAACGGTGGGGTACCGTCCCGCCATGGCAGTCAAGGTATGAAATTCTTGCAGAAGGCAGGGGAAAAAAAAAAAAAAAAAAAAAAATCTCCACTCCCTACGCATTTTGCATACTTGATGCTGTCATCGCGGATGGTGGATGGGCTTCCGACCTCTTCTTGTTGCAGCTGCATCAAGCGTGTTTGGGTTGTATATGCACAACCACACGTGCATAGCTGTGTGGTTGGGAGGTGTGTATGCGCGTGGTATTTCACCTCGAGCAGTACCATTCCACTGACGCGATCAAACATGCACACGCGAAACATGGTAACGCTCACCACCACCATTACCACCACCACCCCGTTTATTTTCCCCGCCTCCTCTTCGCAGACTTTCGGCATGCGCGTCTCTTGCCCTCACATTGTCGGAGTGGACTTGTACGAGAAGCTGTCTCGTCCCGAGCAAAAAGAGCTGGATGTGCTGCTCGAGCTGCTGATGACTCAGCAATCTGCCGTGATGGACATGCAAAGTGTGCTCCGAGTAAGTGCCGTCCTCTTGGTGTTGCCTTGCCTGCGAGTGTTTGGTTTTTGGGCCGCTCTCATCCAACCCAACCCATTTCAACCCAACCCGCTTTTTGGATGGATTGCAGTTTTACGCCGAACCCATGCTCAAGCTCCACATCATCACACCAGCAGAAGCCTACGAGATATTCCGAAACTTTTGTGACATTCTCGCTCTGCAAGAAAATGTCCTTCGCACTTTTGAAGAGGTTTGGCGCCTTGCCACGACTGAACGCGACGATCTTCTTGTCTGGAGTGGCCGCTATTACCGTCTGTTTGACGAAATGTTTCCGGAGCGGGTATGGTTGCTTGCGCCTTGTCGCGCGATACGCGATACTTTTCCCGCAATCACTTTGTCACTCATTCTCGTTTTGTTGTTTTCTCATGTGATGACTGCACAGACGACCACCATCGAGGCCTACGTGTACTACTGCGGCACAGCTCCGCATGCAGCGTTGTTTATCAAATCGTTGACGCACAGTTCACCGAAATTTGCCGAACTACTCGAACGGGCGGACGCTGTCGAGCAAATCAAACGTCGCGGCCTCGTCACCATGCTCACTGCACCACGCCAGCGATTGATGCAGCTGGGCCTTTTGTTCCAACGGCTTTTCGACATGGTCAATCGTGGCGTGAACAAACTTCGAGAGGAATCGAGCGGTGATTTGACAAATGTTCTACAACAAGCCAACCTGGGCTCGTCCGTGTCCTTGCAGCAGCCAGCAGCAGCGGATGGCGCTTCGTCGCAGCCGCATCCAGAACCACATAACCAACAACAACCACAGAACCAACAGCAACCACAGAACCAACAGCAACCAGAGCCGACACGGCTGCCGTCACCTGCGCAGCAGCAAGAGCCAAATGACGACGACGATGACAGGCAGCAGGTGGATGAAACTCTCGAGCGAGACCTCGACACGATGCCGCCGCTTTCCAGCGGCAACCATCGATTGCGGCGAGCACCCGCGTCCCGCCATTCAAAGCGGTCCTTGCGTGTAGCGCCCACTGAGCCTGTGAACGAACACGCGCAGAACGGAGATGCTTCTGCAAGCTCAGCCGATGCGACACTTCCTCCAGCCGAGTTTGGAACGAGAAGTACACCCTCACCACCCTCCGAGTCAAAGCTCAGTCGGCTCCCGTCTGTGTCCTCGGCCAAGCCGAAACGCAGCTTGAGACGAGTCATCAGTCGCAACGACACGCTTTCCAACCTACCCGAGCCCTCGATGGCAGCCATTCCGCTGATGCCAGGCTCGGGCGAAGTTGCCGAGGCACTCAACGCTGCCATGTCACTCACCGAAATTTTGGACAAGCTCCAGGGCTTGCTCAACGTTGTCGACACGCTCACCGGCGTCCTCACGACCGAATTTGACATTGGCGAGCTGAAACGCACGCTGCTGCTTCCCGACGGCTCGCGGGCCAATGTCAGTTTCAGCGAACACGCCCAGCTCATCTACCGCGGTGCTTTCAATAATCACCGCAACCACTCCATCATCGTCTACTTGTTTGATAACATCTTCCTCATGACCAAAAGCGTTCAAGAGAATGGTGAAATCCGCAATTACGTTTACAAGAAGGCGAGTTTTGTTGTTTTGTTGCTTTTGTTCGTTTTTTTGCTTCGTTTGGATGTCGTGGGGTGCTGTGCAACACCTGCTCAAACTCACGCCCCCCCTCCCTTCTCCTTTACAGCCAATCCCTCTCGAAAGTTTGCGTGTTATCGACGTCGCAGACTCGCTTCGTTTGAAGGCAGCCAAACCGGGAGACTGTAAGACCCGCGCAGAAAACCTGTGCATGTTGTTTCCATCCCCACATCCGTCCCTCACTCTTGCATGTTCTCGTCTATCGTCATTCCAATTGCAGCGCCCGTCGCCAGCATGGACTGCCACAGCTTCAAGATTGTCGACTTGCAATCTAGCCAGCCGAAAAGCTTCAAGCTGACTGCCGCCACCGAAAGCATGAAGCAGGCATTGTTATCTCACCTGCTCGTCATGACTCAAGGAAAACGCGCCCTGGCAAGCAAGCCAAGCGAGGCCGTGCTGAAGAAGACTGTCTCGACGGTGGCCCAGCCAATCAACCACCATTTTATTGCCACCTACTTTACCAAGCCAACGTACTGCCACATATGTACCAATCTCTTGTGGGGTGTGTTTGGGTGTCAAGGCGTTCGCTGCCACAACTGCAGCATTACGGTCCATTTCAAGTGCCGCCTGAAGGTTCCCGAATGCAAAGGCAACGCCCTTGGCCAAAAGCCTGTCGATCGCGTCAGTGGGACCGTTTTGTTTTGTTTTTTCGCATTTATTCCATGTTGGGGCCATGTTGGGGGCCTTTTTGAGTTGGAAGATGTCGACCTCACTTTTCTTTTGTGTTGTTTTTGTTTTGCTCTTGTGTCTTTCCCAACGACAGTCGCGAGATATGCGCGATTCCACGACAACATTCAATGTGGACAACTTGGACAACCACGACGCCGACTCGATGATTGAGGATGATGCTGCCGACGACGCCTTCCAGCTCGTCAACAGCGACGAATTGCTCCTCCAGATTTGCAGCAAGCCTTCCGCCATCTTGAGCTATCGCAAGTCCATGGCAGAGGCTGTTTCCGAGCTTGCCACCCAACTTCGCCACCTCATGATTACAGTTGACGACGACGAGCAAGAGGTTCGCAGGCTGGCCAATGTGGAAACCGCCGTGTCGGATGCTCTCATGGCCATGCTCGATGCCGCCCAGCTCGGTACCAATTTTGCGCTTGCGGGATGTCGTGTTGGTTTTTACATGCTGACGATGCAAACAACTCACTCTCTTTCCCCTCCACACGCTCTACCATTCCTTCCATGCTTCTCCCATAGCTGCGCTCAACCCTGACGCGGACGACCTGCAAAATCGATTTGCGGAAAAGGGCAAGCTCCTGCATGCAACCCTCAATATGAACGTTTCAACGTTTGTGCAGTGCGAAGGACTTGCGCTCAAGACTGAGGCCGAGTTCCCCTCGCGTCTTCGCCGCACACTGGGTGATTTGGACACTTCCACACCGGCCGAGCTCATCCAGCTCTTGCGAGATCCCGCAAATCGTCTGTGTGCTGATTGTGGAGCCGAAGGTATGTTCACAGCAGCAGCAGCAGCAACGTCAAGTTTGACTTGGTCATTGCTCGAATCCGCCTTCTGGTAGTTGCTGCTCACTGGTTGTCTCTGATACTTGGGCATACCCTTTAGCTCCGCGCTATGCATCCGTCACCTTTTGTGTGTTTCTGTGCAGCAAATGCTTCCTTGTCCACCGCGCCCTTGGCAAGCGCATTTCGCACACCAAAACTTTGGCGGAAGATTGGGCTCCTCCAGAAATCCAGGTGACTCTAGGATTATTGTTTTTTTTTGGGTTGCTCTTCGTTGTTGTGTTCTTGGGCCAGCAGCTGACTCTCATCCCCCTCCCCTTCCCTCGGTTCAATGTTTTTTCGTGCAGCGGATGCAATGCATCGATAACTGCCAGGTCAATGCCAAGCTTTTATCGAGCATGCCCGATAAATTAAACCTGTCTCCGAACAGCGACGAGACGTGGCGCACGGAATTCATTCGATTAAAGTACGACAAGAAGGCCTTCACCGCTGAGAATGCGGGCAAACTCAGCCGCCTGCTTTCCACGCAAACACACGACGCAGTTACGCAACTGCACAACTTCATGTTCCACACAAACAAGACTCCAACCTTCTGCGGCTTTTGCGGCAAATTGATGTGGTAGGTGCTAATTGCACGTTGGTTGGTTGATGCCAGCGGTTCTTGTCGTCTCGTCCAACCTCACGTTTTTGCGACCGCCTTGTGGCTCAGGGGCTTGCGAAACCAAGGCGTCCGATGTCAGGATTGTGGTTACAACTGCCACTGGAACTGCACACGAATTCTCGGATTCAATCTCATGTCGCCAGTGTGCGTCGATGCCGAAAAGTTTGGCTTTGACTGCAAAGGAACCATTAAAATCGCAGTGATGGCGGGCCGAGATCTGATTTCGTGCGATTTGAATGGCAAGAGCGATCCTTACCTCCGTCTGACGTACGGCATGCGAGAGGTCAAGACGAGTGTGATTGAAAAAACGTTAAATCCATCCTGGCAAGACGAGGTACGTCAGCATTTGCATTGTAGTGATTGTTGGATTTTTATTTTTTCCCTGTTGGTTGTGGCTGATTTTTGTCTTGTTTGTCTGCGCTTTTCCTGCAGCCTATCTTGTTCCACGTACGGAACTTTGCCGAGCCACTGAAGGTTCAAGTTTGGGATTGGGACCAGTTGTCCTACGACGGTAAGTTTGATTGATGAATGGAGTTGGTTGTGTTTGAAAACAAAAGGCGTGGCTTTTCGATTCCAAGAACAAGAATCGGTGAAAATGCTCGCATCTCATCACGCTCTGGGGTTGTTGTCCTTTTGGATAGATTTTATGGGCGAATGCGAAATCTCCCTGGAGTTTCTCGAGTTGGCTGAAGACACGGTGCAGTTTCCAGTGACGATCGATCTTCAAAAGGTCAAACGAGGCCAGTTGTACTTTGAAATTGTCTTCCGGAAATTGGAAACACGCGTCTGATGGTGCTGCCGATGATCTTTGTTCGCTTTGCGGTTATTTATAGTTGTTGTTTTCCTTCTCGCCTGCCTCGTCTCATTCGATAGATTTACGAATGATCGTTTCTATGATACGGGGCCCATCGTTTGGCAGCAGGTTGCGATTCGTGTGGTTGAAGTGGCCTTTTCGCAGCGGTCCCGTAGAGGAGCGGCACAACCGGCAGTTGCGTCGCTGCGGCTCGCGAGTGGGCAGGAGTTGAAGAAGTTTGGGTGCTTTGCGCGCCGAGAATGGCAGCCGGATCAAACGGGATGGAGTAGATTTTCCGATAAAGGTGCGCACACTCCAGCAGCCATAAACTTTCAGCATCTGGAGCGCGTTCGGGGGCTGCAGTCGGTCGATGTGAGAGCGATTTGAATTACGTGGCAGAGCCGATTCGAGCAAAAACACCCCATGATTCAAAAAGTCAGCACGAAACGAAATCACGTCGAAAACATGTACACACGAGTCGCCTTACTCATGGACGTGACAACTAATTGGCGTTGCTCGCGGTAGCAAGATAGCTTGCCGCGAACCGAGACGAGATCGCCCAGTTCGCCAATCGCCGGCACAGGAGCGTCAAACACGTTGCCTGCGCGTGCAGCTCGCCGTGCAACTGGAAGAATCGGGGCATTGCCTGCCGCACCACCACCAGCAGCAGCGGCAGAGGCTCCAGCAGCGGCTACAGCAGCTACAGCATCGAGAGCAGCCGGAGCACCATTGGTTGCGTTTCCCGCCAAATTGGTCACTTCGGCTCGCCGGCGGTTCCACACGACGCATGAGATGACGCCAGTCCCGTCATCAACTATTCGACACACACAAACGACATTTATGCCAAGTCGAGGGTGAGTTGTCGTGTCGTGCGTGCATTTTCATGTCGACCAACAAGCCAACTTGGACACACTTGTGTAGCTCGTATTTGTATTGTACCGGTCAATGCTTGAAATGATGCCCATGATGTGGATGCGAGCAATCGGATGCTGATGGAGACACAGGACCTCTAGAATCACGGATGTTTGCCGGAGCGTGAGTGAGCACAACGAGACGAGCGCGGGAAGGAGCGGTTGTGCTCGAGAGCGACAAGTTACCGCGAAAGCTGGGGAAGCCGGCACACGAGTGCACGAGACTGATGGGCAGCTTGGCACAGGCCCAGTACAGCGGATCCAGTCCCCAGGATTCGACCACGGGCGGCGGCGGAGCGAGCGATGCGTCGTGGCGGTCGTGGTCCATTGTCAAGTGTGTGAAGATGTTACCAAACACAGAACGAGAAGAATAAAAAGCCAAAAAGAGAGAGTGAGGGGACTTGTTACGATCGAGGAGCCACTACAAATTGACAACGAAGACTGTACTCCTGAATCAAAGCGTCAACAATCAAGCACAAAACAAAATCCATCAAGTAGCCTGTTGTTGCCTCTCTCCCCCCCCCCTATCCTCTCGACCAACCGGAAGAAATAAAACAAAAGACTCCTGAACAATGCTTTCTTCTGCTTCTCTTTTTCATTTAGGGACAAAAGCAACATACTGGCAATTACACCGAAATCACGCAGCTTGGTTGGATCAAAAAGAGATGAAAGCCCAACGGGAAAAAACAATTGCACAAAAACACAAGGACCACTTTAGAACTTGAGCTGGTGGGGGAACTGGCCCTTGGTCAGGGTGAAGGGGGCAGCAAGGTACTCCTTGAGCAGTGGGGTCTTCTTGACGGCGGCAATGATGACCTTGTCGACCTCCTTCTGGTCGGCAACACGGCCAGCAGCGATGGTCTTCTTGGCCTTAGCGCCAGCAGCAGACTCGAAGAACTCGGCCTCAGTCTTGGACTTCTTGCCAGCGGCAGCCTTGGCAAAGTAAGCATCCTCGAACTTGTCAAACTTGGCACCGGCAAGGTCGACCTTGGTGGAGGTGGCAATGACGTAAGCCTGGTTGACACGGCGGAGCGGGACACCGTTGACCTTGAAGGGGCCCGAGACGAGGAGGAGGCCAGACTTGAGCTGCTTAAGGAAAACAACGCGCTTGCCACGGAAGCGGCCAGCAACGAGGACGAGGACGGTGCCGGGGGTGATCGACTTGCGGAGGGTAGCAGTGCCGGGGGTCTTGCGGTTGGCAAGGGGTCGGGGAGTGTCCTCGGTGGGGTAGAAGCGGGACTCGCGGCGGACGGGGACGACGCGGGTCTTGCCGTTCTTGTCACCCTTGACCTCGACGGTCTTGGTCTGAGCACGGGTCTTGGTGGTGTTCTTGACCTCAGCCTTCTTCTTCTTGTAAAGAGCGCTCTTGGCGTACGAGACCGAGCGGCCGTACTTGTGAACACCAGCGTTCAGGACGTGGTTGCGGGGCGAGTGGGCCTTCTTGGCAGCCTTGGCAGGGGCGGCGGCAGTCGCTGCTTTCGGGGGCATTGTAGCGATTGGGGTCTGCGAGGAGGGTAACGAGGGGAGAGCAACAAACAAGAAGAACAGAGAGTGAGCACAAGGCTTTTGGAAAGAAAAGCAAAAAAAAAAAAAAAGATGCATGGGTTGTGCTTGCGGTCGCCCCTTCCTCCGCCGTCTCGACGACACGCAAGAGTCGGTGACGATAGGGGCAAAACGAGGTGCCGGACGCGATAATGGCATGCCGAGCTCGCGGGATGTGGCGGACGGGCAAGGAAGTGGAGCAAGTTCAATACAGGGGATCGAACGCGACCTGCTCCTGTGCGCCGCAGAGGCCTTCCCTCCCTCGCAAAAGCCTCCAGCAGCCCGTGCATCAACACCAAAAGGTCAAAGCTGATGATACACATGGACAGGGCACGTTTGGAGCGCGCCCACAGCCGCTTCAAACGAGACGCGGAGGCAAACCCTGGCGCAAAGCCGCTGCTCAACCCCTCCGGCCTCTTGCCGCGGTTTCCTCGTCCCCCTCCATTGCACTCCCCACTTCCCTGGCCTGAATCGTGCACCAAATAGCACTGCTCAATGGATTATGGAGGGCAGGGGGCGCCCAGGGCAGCGGATGGCCGGGATGCAGTCGACGAAGGAGGCACGAGCAAAAGTGCAATTCATTCACAAACCAAAGGAAAAGAGAGCGAGCAACTGGTTTTGGCTGCCCGCCTTTTCTCCAAATCCCCCGGAAATCAAATCGAGTATTTTTCGGGGCATTAGTGTCTTGACATTTGAGCATCTCGGAGGAATTTTACAGGTATCAAAAATTGGGGAGGGGGCGAGTGGAGTGGAGGTGACGAGGGTCAATGCAATGTTGTTCTTCTGAGCCGGTAGCCCGAAGTCCCAACCCCGTGGGATCCCGGAGCCTCACAAACAACAAATTCGTATTGTCAATGCAAATCACAGCACACAGCTACCTCGTGAAGCTCATCGGGTAGAGTTGGCGTTCTTTGTGCTTGGCTGAAATTGTAAGCGTTCGCCAAAGCCTCAGATAGCATCGATTTGGTTTCGAGTTGGCGTTCGACTCGGTCGTCACGATATTCTCAGTGCCGCATATTACATGCTTATATTTCAATCCAGTTGATAACGCGATCATGAATAACAAGAAGCACCCGACCATCTTGCGACCAAACTCAGCAGCAGTCGTTTCAGCAAAACAAGTTTGAGCACCCTTCGACGTTTTGACCCTTCACTGCTGATTTGCAAGATTTATCGCTTTTCTTTTTTCTTTTCTATGGCTCACTCCTTACACTTCTACACCCCCACCCCACCCCCTAACCCTCCAACTCTTCCATTTCAAAAAAACCATCGTACAAAAAGCGAAATACAAACTTTTTTTTTTTTTGTTTGTTTGTGTTCTTTTTCCCCCCTCTTTGCTTTGCTTCCTCCACTGCTTGTTCCGCCAAGGGGACAACAAACTAGCATCCACATCTCCCGCTGCTTCGAACCGATTCCCTTCGTTCGGACTGTACATAACCTTCGCACGCTGGAGAGTGTTTGGGTCTAGTTCAGCAAACAATACGTTTGGTTTGTTGAAAGTGCGCGCTCGCGATTTTCTGGTCGCCTCTGCTTGCTCATCAGCCAATTTGCCCCCCCCCTACCGCCTCCGCTGGCCTCGATTCGCTTTCGCTCTGTTGCGTGATTGCACACGTCTCCTGGTCTGGTCTGATCTCCCATTCCGTCCCATTCCGTCGCTCTCCAATCGATTGATCGCTCAACAATCCGTTTTCGCGTCATCAAGTTTATTCCCCCCGATCAGTCACTCTTTTTTTGTTCTCCCGCCTTCCCGCCTTTCCGTGCCATTGTGACCAAAGCCATGAGTGCCCGCAAACTCAAAGTCATGCTCAACCGCGCGGTGAAGCAGCAGCTGCCGACCCCGCACAGCACTACCGTTCGTACGTCCCCAGCAGCCCCGTCTGGCGATCTCCAGACTGCCTCTGCTCCCGCGCCCACAGGTACAGCCCTCATCACGAAATCTGAGCAGGAAAGCACAGCACAGCCAAGAAGGATGTGCGACAGAAGGGGCGGGCGGGTATGGGGAGACACAACTTTCAATTTCTGACCCGAAAACCTCAATTCTCGCTCGCGCACCACAGTGAACGAGTTGCTCGCTCGTTACCGAGCACAGGACCCACGACACAAGTCGAAGGCTCAAGTCTCAGAGGCCAGCAACGCTTTGTCGTCCGTTGAGCGCCTCAGTGCCCATATTCTTCAAGACGAGCGTCGCGCACGCGAGGCCCTGTTGGATCGTGCTCGTCGCGCCGTTGCAGCCGGACCCCCTGCGCCGAAATCCTGGAACTTACTTCGCGGTGCGTGCATTCTTCAGAGATTTGGTTATATAACCGCGGTTGTTGCGAAAGGAGGAGGAGGGAGGGGGAGGGAAATGTGATTTATGAAACCAAACGATTGCAACACCCTTGAGCAATCTTTGGCTTTTTGGCGATTTCTGACCTCGTGCACTCGTGCATTTCACGCACTTCACGCAGAAATTTGCGTCCGACGGAGCAGCAGAGGCTCTTCTGCTGCAAACTCGCCCCCTGGGACAGTGCCAATGCTTGAGACGCTCGCGGCTCGGAAGGTCGCGCAGATGCTGCCCACCCTTTCTGTCACGGACTTGCAGGATTTGTACTGGGCGCCCATCCTGATCCGGGAGATTGTGTATCAGTCGGCCATCCGTGCTGGCACCTTGACGGATGACGTGCTCGTAGTGCTGCTCCATCTCGACGACGGTTACCGCTCGGTGGACGTGTCCAACAACTCGTCGGTGACGAACGCCGGTCTGCTGAGTGTTCTTCCGCCGGCCGCCGACCCAGACGCCGAAAGCCTTGCTGATCTCGAAACCTGGGAAGATTTGTTCGATGATGTTGGCGGCTTGGATCAGCACGAGCAGTGTCGCTCGATTGTCCTCCCAGTAACGCCTGCCGCCAGTCCCGTGGGTTCGATCAGCGCGGCCCCGATCGCCATTCCGCTGCAGCAGCCTGCTTCTACCTCCTGCCAACAGTCCCACGGGCAGGAGTCGCCGAGTGGAAGCTTGCCCAGTCGACCCGGTTCTTCCTGGAATCGCGACGCGTGCTCTGAGGCTGGACGCCACGTCTCTACCCCGACCGCAATACGTCGAGTACCACCCCGCCGCTCCCGGGACCCGTTGCAACAGCTGCAGTTTGATATGGATGACGTGTTGGAGGACGTTTCTTCGGCGCCCGAGCTGCCCATCAGCAACCGCGAAGCCAAGCCCGCCGCTGGCAGTAGTACCGCCAAGAGTTCCGACTGCGCCGATGCAGGTCTGGGACAACGACCGCGCGGCCGTTCTCAATCCCAGCCAGCGTTGACGTTGGGTCGTCGGCAAGTCTCGACATCAGCGCCCTCGTCGGCCACGGCCTTGTCCACGTCGCCACCCATGCCGCGAGGGATTGGCGGGTTTTCTCTGCGTGCCTGCACCGTTCATATCGTGACGCTTGACATGTCTTTCAGCCTGGGCATTATCGGCGGAGGGGCCTTTGTGCGACAACTGGCTGAGCGCCTCCCTGCGTTGGCTGATTTGCGCATTGCCGGCTGCTTTGATGAAGAGACCGGGCCTGAGACGCTCTTAACTATATTCGGGGCATTGACCAACCTTGTCTATCTCGATGCGAGCAAAAACTACTGGCTTTCGGGCGCCGAACTGGACTATCTGGTTCGAAAGACGCCGCCTCCTCAGTCGCTGCTTCCACGGCTGAGTGCGTTTGTGCTTGCAGGCTGCCCCATGCTGCGACACGAGCATTTGCATGCGTTGGCTGTGGCTCGTCCGAGTTTACAAATTCTGTGACCTCGAGTTTTTTTTTTTTTCTTGTTCCTTTGGCATTGCAATACAAAAATCAGGCCAACATCCTTTACCAAAACGAGATTTTGTTTCAGCTTTTCAGTGTTTTTTTTTTCTTCTTTTCTTCTTACTTTTTCCAAACAAGCTAAAGCACCCCTACTCTATCGTAAACAGCAGCATTCTAGCAGCAGATTGCATCAAATCACCAACAAAGATGCGGCGACGACCATGGCTTGCTGGCGATGACACGGACGATTCCGATCCGGACGAGAGCAACGACGACGAGTTTGACGAGGACGAAGAAGATGTGCTTCCATCGGATGCTGGAAACAGCAGCTCGGCAGCGAAGTCCGCATCAACAACAACAACAGCAGCAGCAGCAGTGATGCCGAGCGAGGGTTTGAGTGCTCCTGCTCAGGGAGCCCAGATTGCAGCGATGGATGGTCGTGGGAACGAGCAGTCCGCAGCAGCAGCCAACGCGCTGATCGACGCAGCAGCAGCAGCAACAACAACAGCAGCAGCTCGTGTCGATGAAGGCCGACACGACACGACTGCATCTGCCGGGATGGCCGAGGCGAGCGGACTGCCGGATCAGCCAGCGTCGGAGTTCGCTGCGTCGGATCCGAGTGTTGCAGCCAGTAGCAGCAGCAGCAGCAGCAGCAGCACCGACCACTCTGCTCCAGGCAACAGCAGCAGCAACGGCAGCAACAGCAACAACCAGGTTGGCAATGCCGAGGCTGCGTCGGCGATGGATGAAGCACTGGCAGTCACTGAGCCCGCCGTTGAGGCCACTTTGGCCGCCGAGCAATCTGCAGCTGCGCAGAGCGCCGGCGGGCAAGGAGAAGCGGTCGGCGAGCTGGCATTGCGGTTCAAGCACCTCAAGGAGCAGTTTGAGCGTGGCGAGCTGACGCGCGACGAGTACAAGCACGCGCGAACGAGCCTCGTCGACAGCCTGACCGGAACTACGTCGGCCGGCTCCAAGAAGACGCCCGGCGTGACCTCGGCGGTGGTCAAGCCCGGCCAAGCGCCGCTCGCAGTGGTTCCGAATCGACAGCGATCGCGTCGACCTCAACTGCAAGGTGCGGTTTGTCGATCTGTCTGACTTTTTGTTTTTTGGGGGCGGGGATTGCTGCGAAAATGGATGGAACAAATGATCGTTCATGCTAAATCCTTGCGACTTGTCCCGCACCACCCCCCCTCTTTATTTGATCCGATCCGATTAGATTCCGTGACCGATAACGATTACAAGGGAGGGCCGCGACGTGCGCTTCCGCGACACTTGTTGCCTCAGGAGCCGGTAAGTTCGTTTTCGTTTCTGCTTTGTTTTGCGCGATTTTCTCCATGATTCGTCGCAATCTTGGGATGGGAAGATGATCGCTCGCTTGGTCTTCCGATTCGCGCTAATACTCCAAACTTACCAACCGCTGCACAATCTGTTCCTACCCAGGCCAATCTCGAAGAAAAAGCCGTTAAACACATCTTTGTCGCTTCCACGCGATCATGGCTTTCGTTGCCAACACGCGTCAAGGTGCAGCGTGAACTCCTTGGCAAGCACGGCGAGCGCAAGGCATTCCACTTGCAAGAGGTGGGTCCTGGAAGGGACGTTGCGTCCGTCAATTATGTTGCCAAGATTTGCTTGGACTCGGACGCCGCACGCCAGCTGCTGTTTCGGTACGGGCGTTGTTTTTGTGCTTGTCCATCATGTCGTCGCTCTGCTTGTTGCAGATTCTTATTTGCGATTCCGGCATTTCCCGCCCTTTTTTGGCTTGCACACAGGTGGGTGGAGGATCAGATGTACGCGCGCGAATGGGCCAACAAGTTCAACGAGTTCCAGCCGCCAAAGAAAGTCACATTTGTCGATGCCTGGTTGCTCGAGCTGGTCGACCGCTCTGACAAGCCGATGTAAGTGTTGGCGTGACTGTGAGCCAATTGTTAATGCGGTTGAAATTTTTTGTCTGGTCGCTCATCGTTGCAACAATCTCTCCAACCTTCAGCTGCGCCGTCGAACAGTTCCTCAGTGGGTCCTTCCAAAAGCATAATGACAAGGAAGGCAGACCAACGGTGCAAGACCGAAACACTCCGCAGGCCTTCTCGCACTTTTCGTACGTGGCTTCGGACAGCAAACTGTTGATTTGCAACATCAAGGGTGTCGGCGACACCTACACGGATCCCCGCATTTGCCTGGCATCCCACGCCTATTTGCCCCAGCAAGGAGCCGGGGAGGCATCGGCACCGGCGGCAGCCGCGCTTGAGCTCGAGATTGCCGCCGACGAGCGAACCATTGCCAACTTTATCGAGTCGCATCGCTGCAATCCGATTTGTGTCTACCTCAAGCTGCCCATTATGAACGGACCCCCGACAACAGAGGCGGACGCTCAATCTGCTGCCGCAGATAATCAGGCTGCTCGCTCCCGCGCTGGATCATCGCGTGGGACCAAGCAGCGCCGGAGAGGGCGTCGCAACAGCGACGCTGCTCGACAGATTGTGGCTGGTCGAGACGAGATGCGTGATGCAGGCAAAACTATTCCCGCCGTCACGTACATGCCGCGTGAAAGTGTCAACATGATGCGAGCGCTGCATTCCCCGAGCCTGGCTACTTCTGCCGCAGCCTCCAGCACAGTCACACGAGCGCCTGGCGGGCTTCCGTTTTTGCTGCAATGTTGTTCGATTTTGTAAAAACAATGTGCTTGTCGATTTGGTGTTGACATGCTCGATTTTTTTTTGTTTGTCCTGGACTCGGTTTGTTTTGATTTCGGTTGTTCCATAAAAAGTTTTTTGTTTTGTTTTGGAAACGCTCACACAAAACCACCCCTCACACAAAATCAAACCGAGACAAAAAGGAAGGAAAAAAAAAAAAGACCATTCACGCCGTCGGTTGTTCAACATATTATGTGGCTTGGAGTTCCGCTCGCTCAAGGGCAATAGATCGGTCGAGTGATTGGCAATGGCATTCGCAGCCTGTGACGGGACACGAATTGTGGGTTTCAAACCATTCGAGCAGGTGGTTGGCATGACCCCCATGGCGGCAGGTTTGGCACCAAGTAAACCATTGGTCAAAGGCGCCGCCCTTTTTCTTGCTCTCAAACTCAGTGTCTAAGCGGAAGGGTAAGGGGGTAGGGAGTCAGCGGTGATAGACACCAAGCGCCGCATCGAATCCTCAAAACGTACCATCGCTGACACTGGGAGCTGCAGAGCTAGTTCCCAGCGGAATTAAACACAATGCACATCGAGGAAGTGCTTTTCGACAACTAGGGCAGCTTGTGACCTGGAGATACAAAAGCAAAACCAGAACCAAGAATTGAGTGCAAAGGTCTACTCAGATCCCAGCCAAAAGAGTGCTGCTTTTGCTTCCTCACCTTGGGTTTGGACGGAGGACCAGCAGTCATGCCAGTGGTGACACCGTGCATGCCCGATCCGCCAGCACCGGGACGATCGCGGGAAGGACCAACTGTCAACATGCTTCGGGACACAGAAATGTTGCACATGTTGCAGCGCACAAAGACCTGCTGAGGAGGCTTGTTGCTGTCGTCAAACAAACGGCGCGCGACATCAAACAAGGCTCGTTCATGCCAGAGCTGCCACATATCGAGCAGATCTCGGTAGCTGTGACGATTTGTTCCGAACGCGGTGAGATGAACGAGCGCGAACGGAAAGCCCAACCTTTAACAATCGTCTGTACCTTTCAGTCCACTGCCGAGCGCGAGCATCAGTGGTCTTCTTGCGGACCATCAGCAAACAAGCCGTTTGCACGTCGCCCGTCATGTTCACATACTGCTCGAGAAGGTCGATGCCTTCGCCGGTCAGGCCAGTCAGCACCAAACCGTCGAGATTTCCCTCCTTGGTAACTTGTGCGGTCAGCCGAGTTGCGAATTGTGTCAGCTGCAACAGAGCGGAGAGGGTCAAGCGACAGGTACTCGGTCAGACACGATTGCATCACAGAACGAGAAAACACAAACCCCGGCCCCAAAAACCCGCCTGCACAAACCTGAGAATCGTTGAGGAATCGGCACGCAAAGCCAACGCGATCGGCGAGGGATACGCCGCGCTCCTCAAGAACTTCGGAAAACTCAGCGGGCTCGGCGGTCAAAAATGCAAACGCTGCACGCAGATACGGGTGCTGCAGCCTGCTGCGGAGGTGACCACACATCTCCTTCCACAAGGCGTTCTTTTCGGCATAACCAGCCAGCGCCATTGCAACCAATGTCAAGTTCGAGTCAGCACCGGGTCGCTGAGCGCCCGCGTTGAGCGATTGGATGGCTCGACGGATGTCAAGATGGAAGAGCGCGATCGCGGACGCACGCTCGTGCTCATCCTCTCCTTCGAGCTTGCGCAGGGCGTTTTCCAGGGTGTCGCGGTCACGCTCAAAGCCCCAGTCGCAAATTTTCAGCGCAAGTTTTCGTTGGGCGCTATGGTAGACTTGGAAACTCAAATTCATGTCGTGAGTGGCTGCAATTGTTGTCGAATTGGCTCCCTGTGCGCTGGAAGCGGCAGCTGCAAGGTGTGCAGGGCAAGGAAAGGAAGATAGACGAGCGGGCATGGGGGTGAGCAGTCGTTCACCTTGGAACGAAAAACAAAACATCACAAACAAAAGAACACCCATACCAAAAAGCTTGCTCTCGGCAGCCATCACGGCCTTCACGCCTTGCAAGCTGAAATCGAGCTTGCCAACCTGGGCCTTTCCTTTCTTGGACAACATACTGACGTGATGCATCCACGACCAGACGGGCAAAAGCGGGTCGGTTGGCGACAGCAACTCGAGGTTGGTAAGAATCTGGCGTGGGGAGAGAGGAGAGCAATTGAGACGACGAGCTGCTTGACCACGACAAAAACAGACAAACATCCGACATACATCCACGCCATATCCTGCAATGGCTCGCGAACGAATCGCAAACGAGGCGTCCGTTGTGTACGCCGAGTTGCTTTTGGGTTCAGAAGAAGAATCTGCCTGATACACGGATGTTTCATTCTAATGAAGGAAGGACAAGCGGGCAAAAGCAGCGGTGAGGTCAGTGTCCCTAGGACCCTCAAACAAACAAGCAAACCGACACAACAAACAAACAAAGCAACAAAACAACCCCCCCTCTTACCCCCCAGGTGATGGGTCCTTGAGGTGACCAGGCAAGCGACACTGCCTCGGTGACACGGTTGTACTCGAGGGCGGCATTGGCATTGTCGGATACGGTGAGAAGGCTGTTGGGTTGTGTCGGGTGCCAGGCAAAGCTGGCGAGCGGAGCAGTGTTGTTTTGGAAACGCCACGCTTTGGCAACAGTGACGGCCGAAAACGAGTCTGAGGTCGCCTCTGCTGTCGCAGCCCCAAAGAAGGCGGTTGCCTCGGCAAGCGCAGACGAGTTGGAGAGCGCGAGTGCAACGTTGGAGCCGACGGACTTGATGTCCCAGAGCAACACCTCCGACGAGCTCGCGCTCACAGACGAGAGCAGCCCGGAGCGTGTCGGGCACCATAGCAAGTCGCTAATGTTCTTTGGCTCGACATTGAGGGAGAGCACGGCGTCCGTAAACCGGCGGCTGTCCCACACCTTCACAGCACCCTCAGGAGAGAACGAGGCAAACTGGAATGCATTGAACGGATTCACGGCTACTCCAAGCACGGCCTTTGTTGAGGTTGTGAGCAGGCGGCCCGAGACATCCGCTGCAGACCAGAGTTGGGGGATGGTGGAGCGAAAAACGGGAAGAAAGGCAACCACAAATGCAGAGTTGCCGGGTGAGTCGTCATTCATTCGGCAGTGCGAACACGGCAAATCACAACTAGCAAACGTCCACGTATACACCACAGCTCTTGCACTCACCTCGGAAATCATAAATACGCAGCCATTTGCTACCGCCACCAACAAGCAGACACGAAGGACTCGTGGCCATCCATGCGAGCGACTGGACAGCATCGTTGTTGCACGTCTCGGCAAGAGGCTTCTCTACGGCGCGAGCCGCAATAGTCGCAGCGGTCGACTTGGTCGTGGATCCTGACGAAGGGAGACCGGAGCGATTCGCACCGACGTAAGTTGCCGCTGGATTGAGTGCAGATGCAGAAGTCGTGACAGCGGCCGCAGCAATCATGGATGCAACGTCCCACACACGCAGCGAGTAATCTGTGCGGCCTCGGTCGAGACCCGCCGCCAGCTGGGTCGTGTAGACGGGATTCCAAGCGACAGCATTGCACGCGCGATCATAGCGCGCCTCGAAATCACGAAATCCAGACAGCCGCGGAGCATCCGTCTAAACATGACGGAAACAACAAGGAAACAAGGTTTAAACAAAAAGTGAGTTGGATTGTTTGTTGCCAAAACAAGGACAAGTCTGAGCGCCTCAGAAATCTGGCTCAAATCTGACTCGTAGACCACACAATACACACACACACACACACTCTCTCTCTCTTTCGTTTCAATTACACCAAAGTCATCTCCCAGCCTCCACACACTGAGAGAGCTGAGCTGAGGGAGTGAGCGTTTAGTATGGGAATTGTTTGGTTTTTAAGCTGGGTTTGTTTCGATACGAAGCAATGACTAAACGTTTCATTTTTTTCTACCTCAGTGGACAGCGTTGCAAATCCGACGTGACCGTTCATCTGGCCGACCGCGAGCAGGCCGCGCGCATCGGGACTCTCACACCACGCAGCGCAGCGCATGAGCGGGAAGTCCGAGTTGACCCCGACGAGCGAGATCTGCGACTGCTGCGACTGCTGCGGCTGCTGCTGCTGCTGAAGGGCGGAAACGGAGCGCGCCGAGATCGAGCTCGACGTCGGCCGCGTCACGTCCGAGACCTCGTACAGGCGAATGTCAGTGTGCGCGACAATAAAATGGGACGGCGCGGCGGACGACAGCGACGACGGCGGCGCCCACAGAACGCGGCGACGGCTCATCTCGGGCGAACAAACGAACAATGAATGAAAGAAAGACTAGACTGGCTGGGCCAGCATAGCATCTAAGCATCTAAGCAAGCAAAGCAAATGGACAAAGCAGTGTAAAATGTGGATGGTGCAGTACTCTATTGTAAAGTGGAGCACAGGTTTCTTCATCCACAACCATAGTCATAATGCAGCATAGGTGAAAACAACGAGAGAGAATCGACGAACGCTGGGCTGCAAACAAAACATGTGTGCTGACCACCACTAAGAATCAAACCGACCCCGCTTGGAGGCAGAGTCACCTTCGTGATTGTCGGGAGCACGCTTCACGCGGTCGAAAATGGTCACGGGAGGAGGCCTCGAGAAACTCGTTCCTGGACGTACCACATAGGGATCGAGCTCCCTGGCGCGTTCAATCAGTTGATGAACAGAGCGGAAGTTGTTGGTGAGCAGTCGATTGGCGTCTGCTACTCGGCCGTGGTCGGCGGCCGTCTTTTTCCACGCCCAAACGGGCCGGGGTTTGTTGGCACTTTCCGTGGATTGCGACGCAATCACGCCGAGAAACCTTGCGCCAGGCAAGTGCGACTGGATGAACAGGCTCATCGGCTCGACCACTTTGGTCTTGTACACGTCGCTCAGATGAATCAGCATGTGGCCGTTCTCAACCAAGCGCGACCAGGCCTTGGCCAGCGACAGGCACAGAAAGTTCACCAGCCAGGCATCCTGCCGAGGGTGGTCAAGCACAGACTGGCCTGGCAGCTGCGTGTAAATCTCGAAATCAAAGAACGGCGGACTGGTAAACACCATGTCAAACATTTCGCCTTCGGGCAGGCGGGCCGTCTGGAAGGGCTCGTACACGATGGTGAAGCGGGACTGCGGGGACACTTGCTCGCCAGAAGCATGGGGTCCGAGCTCGGCAATCATGGCATCGTGACCCGCGCGCAGGCCCGTGTTTGGGTCGACTCCGACGTAGCGGGCCACGCCAGCGGCCATGGCTGCAATCAAGCGGTCGCCCCAACCAGCGCTAAAGTCCAGGACGCGCGTTGCGCCAAAGTGGCGCATGAGAACGACGCCCAGTGACGGCTTGAACTGGGTGCACTCCTTCACATTCTCGTACAGAAATTCTCGCAGCGATCGTGACGTGTACCCTTGGACCCCAGGAGCGCCTTGCGCAATGAGCCGGTACTCACGATCCAGCAGCTTGGTGATGAGCTGCAGACGCTCGTGCGAGTGGCGCCACGACTCCATCGCGCTTATGGGCTGGTCTTGACGCCGCGCTAGAAGGCGGGCCTCCTCTTGAAAGAGGTCGGCAATGACGTCCATTGCGTCATAGTCTGCGTTGGTCGTGGAGATGATTGCCGGCGTGCCAATTGCGTCGAGAAAAGTCCTCGGCAAGAAGTTTCCAGTGACGAAATTATGGTTTGGGATTTTGAACATTTGCGCTTCGTGTCCGGACAAACGGCGCCATTGGTCGGCGGGCTGGAGGTGCTGCAGACGCTCAAACATTGCGAGGGGACTGCCGAGGTGGTGGCGTTTGAACGGGTAGCTGATCACGTTCGCGTCACACAGGCCGTTGATGGTGAGCGCCAGCGGGGAGGCCTGGTTGGGCTGTTCTGGCGCTCCAATCTCAGCGTACTGCTGCAGAAATGCCGGCTCAAGCTCAAGCATGCGTGTCGTGCTATTGTAGTGCCCACCCGTATTGAGCAGCACGTACTGGATGAGCATTCGCAGGACGCGAGCATGCTGACGTTGAATCCCTTTCAGCGTGAGCAGGTTGGCCAGCGCGACCGAGGCGGATGCGACGTCGTCAAGCAAGCCATCCAGCGCATCACGGACTGCAGGTGCCATTGTCGCCAATCCATTGCTCGAGTCTTGTTGTTCCAGCACTGCGTTGAGCAGCTTTACCTGCTGGTCGATGGTCAGCGGAGCACTGGCACTGGCACTGGCAGTGGCTGCTTGATCTGGGTCTGGGTGATTCCCAATGGCAGTCCGCAGCGCGACGTAGTGCACCGCCTGCCGCGTCTTGATGTCCCGAGCAGTCTCAAGGATGCATGCGGACAACGATGACGGCAGCTGGACGACCTCGATCAGCGTTTCGACCAGCGCATCGACCAGCTCTGCCTGACTGCGCGCTGCAGCCACGCTCTGCGCCAACCCGCTTGCAAGCATCGCTGAGCGTTCTTGATCTTGATCTTGATCTTGATCTTGTTGTTGCTGTTGTGGTTGTCCACTGCTGGATGGAGCTGTCTCGTCCACACTGCTGCTGCTGCTGCTCGACATGTTCTCAGACAATAAGGACTGAATGAAGCCGATTTCTCAGTTCGCTCTCCTGATCCCCCTTTCCCCACCTCTCTGTGATACAAGAAGCCACTTCAAAATCACTTTCAATATTCATGGATGACCAGGTACAAGTCATTGATCCCAATGTTGAACTCCACTGCATCGAGCTTTCAATCCCAGTTCCAATCCCATTTCCCATTTTCCATTTGTTTTCAGCCTTTCTTTGATCGCTTTCATTCATTTTTCAGTTTTCATTTTTCATTGTCAATGTTGAGCGTTGGTCGTGTTTCTGCTCAGCGCGGCGTCGCTGCTTCGATTGCGCGGCTTGTTGCTGCTCGCTCCGAGGTCAGCCACGCTGCATCCACTCGCCTCCATCCATCCGTGGCTCAAATCATCCCCCTAAGCGAGTGAGATTGAGACTGAGAGTGAGAGACAGAGAGTGTGTGAGAGAGAGTCATCCATTGAAGCTCCGTTGGAAAACACATCGATCACGCTTTCTCCATCTTCAATGCTGGCTCAATCCTGTCTCAATGCTGGCTCAATGGTGGCTCAATGGTGTATCACGTTCACTTTGATTCATCATCAGCCCCCCTTCCCCCCCCCCCAACTCTCCCTCACACACACACAGAAGAAAAAGGCTCAACAGAGCGATAGCAAGCATGATTCTTCATTTTTTTATTATCATCACAATGATCACTGCTTCCTATTGATTTTTTAAAGCAACGCAAACTCAAAACTCAACATGAATGATCGTCGTTTGTTGTGATTTTGCTTTTTTGCTTGAGACAGGCAATGACTGCGGGTGGTCGCAAGGCAATGCTCTCGACGTCGGCGATGGCGATGGCTCAGCGCGAACAGCTCCCGCTGCACCCGACGTGGGACAAGTTGGCGCAGAAGGAGACCAAGGGCGACACGAACAAGCTCATGTGGAAGACTCCCGAGGTTAGTACGACTGCATAACATGCAGCAACGAGACGAGGACAAGTTGAACACTTGATTTCAATTCACGCTCACACACACACTCGAATGAACTTGTCGTGCTCAACATCCACATCAACTAGGGCGTGACGCTCAAGCCAATGTACTCAAAGCGCGACACGGCCGACATCCCGGAAGAAGTCCCCGGCGTCTTCCCGTTCACTCGCGGCCCGTACGCCACCATGTACACCCAGCGTCCGTGGACCATTCGCCAGTATGCTGGTTTCTCGACGAGAGTAACAAGTTTTACCTGAAAAACCTCAAGGCCGGCCAGCAAGGCTTGAGTGTTGCGTTCGATCTCGCCACGCATCGAGCGAGGGTAATGAATGGCATCATCATCATGCTTGTCGATGGGACGAGGAAGGGGAGGAGGAGCATTGTTGTGTCTGTGTTTGAATGCCAAAACCATCACCCATTGGGAATGGGAGATGCAGGTGATGCACGTTTGGCAGTTTCTAACACCCCAATCCCATGTTTGGTTTTTTTTGTTTTGTTTTGCGCCTCTTCGCGATACGCAGCTACGACTCGGACAACCCACGTGTCTATGGTGACGTTGGTATGGCGGGTGTCGCCATCGACTCTGTTGAAGACATGAAGGTTCTGTTCCAGGGCATTCCCCTCGACAAGATGTCCGTCTCCATGACCATGAACGGCGCCGTTCTGCCTGTGCTTGCCATGTACATCATTGCCGCCGAAGAGCAGGTAGGGTAGTCTTGTTTCTTGTTGAATGTGGGTGAACTGGTAGAAACAATTGGAGCCAACCCAAACTCGCGTTGTCCACAACTAGGGTGTCGAGCAAAAGCTGCTGCAAGGCACCGTTCAAAACGACATTCTGAAGGAGTTCATGGTGCGCAACACATTCATCTATCCTCCGGAGCCCTCAATGCGCGTCATTGGCGACATTTTCAGCTACACTGCACAGGTAACGAGATTGCTTTTGCTGGTATCGTGTGCTTTTGTTTTTCGCATGAGATTGCCGCTCACCTCCCCGCTTCATCCACACTTCTAGCACATGCCCAAGTACAACTCCATCTCTATTTCAGGCTACCACATTCAAGAGGCTGGTGCCGACTCAGTCCTTGAGATGGCCTTCACCATTGCCGACGGTATCGAATACGTGCGCACTGGCCTGAAGGCTGGCATGTCCGTCGACGATTTCGCCCCGCGTCTGAGCTTCTTCTGGGCCATCGGCATGAACTTTTACATGGTTTGTTTCCACCGTTCTGCGTGATTGGTGCGTGTTGTCACACACATATTCTCATCGCGTGTTTATCTCTCCAGGAAATTGCCAAGATGCGCGCTGCCCGTCGTCTCTGGGCCGAGCTCATCAAGGAAAAGTTCAGCCCGAAGAGCGAAAAGTCGTTGCTGCTTCGCACGCATTGCCAGACCTCGGGCTGGTCTCTGACTGAGCAGGTTTGTTTTTGGCTGCCCCTTGGCTTGGGTTTTTGTGTTTGTTGCTGTGTTTTTTTGTTCGCTTCCCTTGCTTGCGAGTACCACCCGTCTCATCTTTGCCCTTGACGAACAGGATCCTTACAACAACGTCATTCGCACCACCATTGAAGCCATGGCGGCCGTTTTTGGTGGCACGCAGTCGCTGCACACCAACGCCTTGGACGAGGCGCTCGGTCTGCCCACCGTCTTCTCAGCACGCATTGCTCGTAACACTCAGATCATCATCCAGGAGGAGAGCGGCATTCCGAAGATTGCCGATCCGTGGGGCGGCTCGTACATGATGGAGTCGCTGACGAATCAGGTGTACGACGCTGCTCTTACCATCATCCGGGAAGTTGAAGACCTTGGAGGCATGGCCAAGGCCGTAGAGAGCGGCATGCCCAAGCTCCGCGTCGAGGAGAGCGCTGCCAAGCGCCAAGCCCGCATCGACTCCAACCGCGAAATTATCGTCGGTGTCAACAAGTACCGTCTGGAGCAAGAGGAGCGCGTGGATGTCCTTGCTGTTGACAACTCGCGCGTGCGCGCTTCGCAGGTACATTTACTAGTTTGCCGTGTTTGTTTTTTGGTATTTCGGGAAGCAATGGGGCGAGGACTTTGTTGAACTCACAGTTTGTATCGCTTTTCACTCGTCTTGGCAGATTGCCAAGCTCGCCGAGCTGCGCGCCAAGCGCGATCCAGCCAAAGTAAGCCCCAAAATGAAGCAAACAACGAGCTCACTAAAAGTGATTTTCCCTGCCGCCAAAATGCTGACTGAGTGCTTTGTCTTTTTGCTTCATCGATCTAGGCCCAGGCTGCTCTGGATGCGCTGACAGAGGCGGCTCGCACCGGCACTGGCAACGTTCTCGATCTCTCCATCAAGGCAGCCCGCTTGCGCTGCTCGGTCGGCGAAATTTCGTACGCGCTCGAGAAGATTTGGGGCCGCCACCGTCCCGTTGATCGCATGGTCAGCGGTGCGTACAAGTCCGAGTTTGGCGATCCCAAGGAGATTGAAGACACGATCAAACTGGTCGAGGTATGTGTGTGTGTGTGTTGGCAAGCATTGTCAGCAGCTGCAAAGTTGGATGTGTGCGCTCACCGGATGCTGACCGCGCTTCCATGCTTGTCACAGACGTTTGCAAACAAGGAAGGTCGTCGCCCTCGTTTGCTAGTCGCCAAGATGGGCCAGGATGGTCACGACCGTGGGGCCAAGGTCATTGCCACCGGTTTTGCTGATCTCGGCTTTGACGTTGATATCGGCCCGCTGTTCCAGACCCCCGAGGAGGTCGCACGTCAGGCGATCGACGCCGATGTGCACGTCGTCGGCGCCAGTTCGCAGGCCGCTGGTCACAAGACGCTCGTCCCTGCGCTGATCGAAGCCCTCAAGAAGGCCAACCGTTCCGACATTCTCGTCATCTGCGGCGGCGTCATCCCACCGCAAGATTACGACTTTTTGTACCAAGCTGGTGTTTCAGCCATCTTTGGCCCGGGTATGCCAATGCTTTTTCTCGAGTTGGTTTTTGTTTCGATGCCGTTTTGGTTGCTCAATTCACTTGTTACTCACTTCCTCCCCCCCCTCTCCCCCCTCCCTTCTCTGTCTTCCCCCTCTCTAGGCACCAAGGTCCCGGTTGCGGCTCGCGATGTCGTCAAGGCTATCGAAGCCAAGCGCGTCGAGTCCGCCACCGCATGATCGACTGTTGTCCACCCAATCCGAGCTGTGCCAGCAAAAACCGTTCTCTCCCCTCCAAATACAAGCATGGCCACGTTCAAGTACAATCGATAACGTGCTTTATTTTATTTTTATTTTTACTGCTCCTTCTTTGTGGCTTTTGTTTTGCCAGACTTCTTGTCGCCAGAGCTCGGGGTTGCGCGGCCCCACCTGTCGTAGAGCTCGGAAGCGATGTAGTGCGTGACGACAAAGGCGAAACAGACATCCTTGGCAGTCTCGACGGGAAGCAATGGAGACGACGTGACGACATGATGGGGATCGGTTGCGATGGCGTAGAACACGGTCATGAACAGACCGGAGCGGATTGGGGACGGCCATGGGAAGTGGAAGAGGTCGTGCGGGAGCGAAAAGGACCAGGTGGCCTTGGTCAAGTTGAATGCACTGTCGACGAGGATGGTGGCCGTCGAGCTGAGCAACCCGACGAGCAGCATGGCGGCAAAGGACGACGCCACGTCCGAGTTTGGGTGCCTGGTGACGCGATCGCAGCCCCACGTCGTCGCAGCCGACGCCTGGCCAACGTTACCAATGACAGACAGCGCAAACCAGATCGGGGGCCACTCGACGATGGCAGGCACGACTCCGCGTGTGAAATGGACGAGGGCAAAGACCAGCGGGAAGAACCACAGCGACGGGTTTTGACGCAGCAACCAGTCCGGAACGCCGCCCAGCAACGCGCCTGTGCGAGTTTTCCAAGGATGGAGTGCGTGAGTTTAAGGCAAGGGCTGAGGTGTTTGTTGGAGGGAGAACGCGATGGCCGCGGCTGTGGGAAGGACGGACGTAAGCGGACGCTCCAAGTACATTCTGCCTTACTGCAGATTGTTGGACCTGCCAGAACGACAATCATTGTGCTCAAGAAGCGCTGGGGCAGCGATACTCCCTTTGGGATGGCACGATATTGAAACGTGACCAGGGTCAGTCCGAACGCAATCTGTCCCAGCATTGGGCCAATTTGAATGAATGAGGATTACTACGCTCTACTCACACGCCCATCGCATCAAAGCACGGCACGGCGATATCATACGTCGATCAAGAACGGCGTATTCTCAAAGGTATCCAGCAGCATGGTTTTTGAAGCGAGCTGATCCGATTGTCTGAGAATGAAAAACAAAAAAGGGGACTGGATGTGCGATCTTTGCCCTGTCACTAAACCATTGACGATCAACTCGATGCACTCAATGTGATTTCTCAGTTCTTCTTTTTTTGACCATGTCACTGCATCCACTTGAGAGCGGACTCGGTAAAGTAGAAAATCGCATTCATTCAATCTGTGGTCTGGATCTGATGTCATTGCTCCCGCCGGGTCATCTCACTCACTTTTGGAACATGGATTCCTGTGATGGATTGGGGGAAAACTCAGATCTGGCTGTTGGGACGCTGTCACTGGGCTCGCTGGAGCGACGTGTAGCAGCCGCTCTGTTCGCTGGTAAACTGACATGGGGGGCGAAACTGCACCCACTTTTGACGGAGCATTCACTCAACGGCGCCTTGTGTTCAAACGCATGACCATCCACCAAACCCCACAGAGTCCGAGGCAGAGAGCCACTGGCGGGCGGCTGGAACCATCGCAGTGTCTGTCACGCGTGAGAGCGGAATCGCGTTCGTCGAGACGGCGCACCAGCGCAACCTGCCTGTTGTGGCCATTGTGAATGAGGTGATATATCCAGAGAAGGTAATGTCGGGTCAATGACGAGCGATCTCGAATGGATTTGGCAAAGTCCAATAATCTGACCCGTTTCGTGGTAAATTTGCGGGCCACTCTCTCTCTCTCTCTCCCTGCCTCGTTTGCCTCGTATCAGATTGCATTGCACAAGCTGGAGCGAAGTGGTGTGCGTGTTATTCGACTACCCGCGGAGGGCATGCGCAGTCTCACGCCCAGCCTTGTCACCGATTTGGTGGCACGCGTCACAGCCGGACAGCCCAGCGACGTGCCTGTGCGCTTCTTGCTTGATCCCGTCAACACCACCCCACTGACCAAGGCGGTGCAAGCTGCAACGGCGGGTCTGCTCGGTGAACTCAAGCTCCCGGCGGAGGTTTCTGCGGCGATTGCGATTGGCGTTGAACTGCCGCACACGCTGCTCTCCACCTTGATCGTGCAGACCTTGCGCGAGAGACTCTCGGTTGCCGGTTCCACCCTCATTGTGGCTGAGCTGGGTGCTCCACGACCTGGGGACTCTGACGAGACGACCATCCGCGTCGCCCCTTCAGATGCCGCAATCGCCCAGTCTGTCTTGCAGAAGCAAGTACCCGCTGCTGCCCAAGCAGTCGGGCTTTTGACAGGGGCTGCTCTTGTTGCTCTTCGCTCCGTTTCGCACCCGCACCAAAAGATTGCCTTGGCGTGCGATGGGGATGCAGCTGTTTCGCAAGCGTAAGAACCTCTGGTTTGGGTTTTGTCGTTCGGACAATACCACGATTGTGCGTTCTTAACTTTTGGTTCTCCTCTGTTGCAACATGAATCCCGCAGTCCTCCGTCAACCAACCCGGCCAGCAAATACCGCGGTGCAGCAGTCGAAGATCTCAACCTGCCCGTCCCCGTCACGGCCTCTCAGACCATTGCTATCGGGGCTGCGCTCGCATTAATGGACGAGCATGATTTTGACAATTTGCCAGTGCTGGATGCGAGTAAGTGGTGCATGGTGTTCATCCTCATGATTTGCGTACTGAACACACTGACTCTCTCAAACGATGCACCCTCGACAAGAAAAACGACTTGTTGGCTTGCTCACGCGAGAAAAACTCGAGGCTCGCGTTCGGGCTGCTCCTTCCACCGCAGAAGCAGAGCAGGTGACTCCCGCCATGTATTACTCGTTCTCTCGCAAGCACCGGTATGTGCCCATTCAACTGGACACTCCCCTCGAGGTTCTCGAGCAGTTCTTCACGCAGCACAGCATTGCCTTTGTGACGGACGATAACGGTTGGTGTGTGAGTCTCGCCACTCCTGCCGATCTGCAGCTCTACCTTTCCAAGCGCATCATGCTGTAAGGCGTCTGTCTACTTGCAGTGTTGCAGTCTGATGGAGCTGTGGCTGTCATGAATTGTCAGGATAGATATTTGCCATTTAAGAATTGTTGGTTGTTCTTAACCCCCCCCCCTCCTCCCCATTAAAGCCCTGTTGTACAATGTTTCTGCCCTTTTCTCCTGCTGTTGAGATGAGCGCCGGCGCTCTAAGTCCCGAGTCTGCTTTCGCGCGAAAAGAACGAGAGAGTCTCCTTGTTTTCATGCTCTCAGAGTCGGTTTGCTCATCTCGCCATCATCGGATCCACCCTCATCTCAACCAAACCCTGTTCATACTATTTCGAATACTGTTCTGTTCTTGTTGTGTTTCATATGTTATGTTGCGCAGTCATTTCCATCATCATTGTAAGCGTCGGTCTTTGCTGCTTTTCCCGTTCCAATCGCGCCCCTTCAACCAGCAGCGACCATCAAAGACGGGCCTTCGCGTCCATTTTGTTTTTCTTCAACAACGACGACGAAGGCGCCTTTGTTGTTGTTGTTGTCGTCGTCGTCGTCGTACGCATGGCTGAACGCATTTGCACTACGGGCAGGCATTATGAGAGCAGACCGTGTGACACTCGTCCTCATTCACATTAAAATAAAGGACCGTCTTGAGCTTACGAAATGCTCGTCCCCGTCCGTGCTTCCCCTTCGCTAGGGGCGGCCCATTGCATTTGCGTACACATGCGATGCTCAGTGCGGTGCTGCGACCGGCTGCGTGCGACGGGCTTTGAGGCTGGCTGAGTGGGAATCAAAAGCGCTCTCATCATCATCATCATCGTCGCTCAAACTCTTCCGTCTCATCATCGTACTCGTCGTTCGCCATTTTGGCTGTTGCGCACCATTCAGTCATTCCTGTTAGCAGCATATCAAACACTCTTTTTTTTTTCTTGAATTGAGGCTGATTCGGATGGGTTCGTACTGGCTGAATGCTTGAGAGTTCTCGTCTCTTCTCTACTCAGACTACTCTATGCCGACAATATCAGATATCAAAGCACTTCAAAACACACTCCAATCTCGTCAACCTCACCTTGGCCCTTTTGAACTTGCTTTGATTTTGATTTTGGCTCAGATTCAGAATGCGCTCGCTCGTTCTGCTGCTCGTCACGCTGCTCGCAGCGGTCGGCGCGGTGTCTGCGTTGTGCCCGGATGGTATTACTTCATGCCCAAGTTCATCGACGTGCTGCGTGACTGCCTCTGGTTGGTATGGCTGCTGCCCGCTGCCGAGCGCGACATGCTGCGCGGATCACGTCCATTGCTGCCCGAACGGCTACATTTGCAACACGACTCAGAGCATCTGCACGCCTGCCAGCGGCGAAGGCCCGATTGTCGCAATGGTGACCAAGACCCCCGCCATCCCCGTCAAGAGCATTGAGTGCGGCGACGGCATCACCTACTGCAGCTCCAGCCAAACCTGCTGCCTCCTCTCGGGCGGCTCGTACGGTTGCTGCCCTCTGCCCAACGCCACCTGCTGCGCTGATCACGTCCACTGCTGCCCGAACGGATACACGTGCGACACCACGCTGAACACTTGCAAGCTTGGCGACGACGCTGACTCGACGGTGCCGATGATGACCAAGCAGCCGGCCATCATTTCCAAGCCCATGATTCCCGAGGTGGCCGTTGTGTGCCCCGACAATTCGCAATGCAGCGCAACCCAGACATGCTGCAAGATGTCCAACGGCTCGTACGGCTGCTGCCCGCTCCCCAACGCCAGCTGCTGCGCCGACCATCTGCACTGCTGCCCATCCGGCTTCACTTGCGACGTGACTGACCACACCTGCAACAACGGCCTGTTTACCGTTCCAGCGCTGCCCAAGCTTCCTTCCACCCCGCGAAAGAACTAGCAGCCCGAGCATTCGTGTTGGGGAACGTCGTTGATGGCTGATCCCTGGTTGTGTCACGTCCATCAACTTGTTTTTTGCTTTTCATTTTTACCCGTGGCTTTTTGTCTGTTTTTATTGCTTTCCTTCGGAATGACCCTTTTCGACTGAAATTGTTTTTGGGAGGACATTGGTGTTTGTAACACTGTACAGTGCCAGGAAACAAAGCAAACAAAGGCGAATCACTTTTGAAACACTTGCGCAACAATTGAAGCAAACTTGTCCAATCTGTCACTGAGCCAATTGATGTGTGTGTGGGTGGAGGTAGTTGCCACCATTGAGCTACACCTTTTAAGGATCTCAGAGTCTCAGAGTCTCAGAAGGCTCAGTCCTCTTCACTCTCCAAGTTTCAGTCTCAGCTTTGCACAAGTTTTCCATTGGGTTGTTTTCTTTTTTTTTTTTCTTTTTTCTTTCTTTCTTTCTTTTTCGTTCCTTGTTCTTCTTTCTTTTTCGTTCGTTCATCTCTTTGAGTAGCACTGGTGGCGATGGTACGTTTTTGTGTTTCATTGCTTTTTGCTGCACTTTGCCACCTCGTCAATCCACACGCTTCAAATCCGCACGCAACGACAAACGCAGGTGAAAAGGAACAAGGAACGAAGATAAAAAAAAAAAAAAAATAATAATAATAATAAAATAAAATAAAATAAAAAGTTTTTTTTTTTTTTTTTCGTCGTTTGATCCTGATGCAAACGCCACGCGTCTGTCTATCCCCGCTGTTTCTTGGGCTATTTGAGTTGTCTGTGGTGACGTCATATTCACCACCATCACCATCACCACCAACGGCGGGCGGCAGTGGTGTGCGGCGCGGACCAGCCAAACGGAAGGCGATGACCTGGCTTGCTTCCCACCACTCGACCTTGCTCTCTCTCTCTCTCTCTCTCTCTCTCTCGCTCTCTGTCTTGGCCATGAGTCCATCGTGCATTGCGTCTCTTGCCTCATTCACTGCCAATCCACGCACTCTGTCCAAGCAACACGCCTCCCACCAAGACACGGCTGTCTTTTTTTTTTTTTTCTTTTTTTTTTTTTTTTTTTTTTTTTTTTTTTTTTTTCGGTCAGCAAGCAGCTTCAACAGTCATCGCTCTGTTGCTCGTCATCCGCTCGCTCTCTGCCCCAGCTTGCTAGCTGTCTCTGTTGCTCTTCTTCTCCATCCCCACCTGCCAATCCAGACACCCCCCCCCAATTGGCCGCTGTGCAACTCGGACGACCGCTCAAAGACTTTTTGTCTTTCTTTTTCTTTTTCTTTTCGCTGTTGCTTTTTGGCTTGGCTGTGGCTGAGCTCAAAGTGCTCGCTCTGTGTATATCGATTCCATATCATGAGCTTGTGCTTGTGTCGTTTGTGTTTTGGGAGTGGTGGTGGTGGTGGTGGTGGGTACGCACTCTCATGCCGTTGATCGCGTTTCTGTCCCATTTCACCTGTTGCTCACTTGTCTCAACTCCACTCGTGATGTTGTCACTCTGGCGCAGGCCGACGACTACACGCCACTCGCGGTTGGCACAGATGTCAGCGCAAAGTATCGAGGCGCGTTCTGCGAGGCCAAGGTCAAGAGTGTGGATCGCGTCACACAATGCAAAGTCCGCTTCAACGCAGACAAGCGCGTGTTGATGCTTGACTCGACCAACATCCGAGGCACGATAGCCGAGGGTGCCACCGTCGACGCCATGAGCCAGCAGGACAACAAGTATCGGCCTGCCACCATCTTACGGCTCTTTGACGGGTCGACCTATACCGTTGGTATGAGCACTGTTCTGTCACCCGGGGTCTCTTGCACCATTCAGCTCAGTTGCTGCTTGGAAACAGTGAGGGCAATACTCACCTGTGGTGTTGCCGATGTGTGTGTGTGTTTGGCTTGGACAGAGTTTGACGATGGGGACATTAAGACTGTGAAGCGGAACAATCTCACGCTCAAGGGCAAGCCAGCCTTCCTCCACGCGTCAACACTCGATGACATGCCACTGACAGATCCAGAGACACTAGTCAAGGTTGCACTGGGCAAGAAACATCGGCAGGGCAGCAAGCGCTCGCGAAAACATGCCAACGGCGAAGGCGGCGATGACGACAACGACGACGACGATGACGGCGACGACGATGATGAGGATGACAACGATGATGATGACGGTAGTAATAGTGATGAGGGAGAGTCGAGTGCCAGCGTGGCCAGCGAGCACGAAGAAGATAGCGCAACCATCGCAGTCAAATCGGCAGGACGTGCCGCAACAGCAACACCCCCACCAACCACAGCCAGCGCAACCAGTCCCGTTCGAGGTCGAGGAAAGGCTGCAAGCAATGCACCTTCCACGTCATCGCCCCTGGCCAACGGCAGTTCGTCCCGCGGCACGTCATCGCCTCAGCTCGGTAGCTCTGGCACTGCTTCCCGCAACAACCACGCCGCAGCGGCGCCCGACAACAACCCGGCCCCCTTGAAGCGGGAGTTGGTTCTCGTGAATCTCAGCTCCATGAAGCCAAAGGGCGAAGAGTACTGGGCACCCGCGTTTATTGTGCCGACGTCGGAGCTCGGGGGCCAGAAAGAACTCCGCCCCGACGCCGACGAATGTGTTGTGCGGGTCCTTGAAGACGCACGATTTCTTGTGGTGGACAAGACGGGCGTCAAGCCGTTCATTCTCACCCAAGACCCTTACTTGCGGCTGGCTCGCTTCTCGGCCTTCCGCGAGAACGATGGCGTTCTGTCCGCCCTGGCGTACCTCAAGGATGGCTCGCTCCCCGATGGCTTCCAGTGGGAGGCATGGGAGCGAGAGGACGTGAGGCTGCACGTCACGCGTCTCAAGAGCTCGAGCCAGTTTCAAAACAGGGGTGACGGCTCCGACTCGATGCTGGGCGCGTCCGACCTTGATGACGCGGAGGAAAAGTACATTCCTGCTGATCTGGATATCGACGCTGAAAGCGTCTATCCGATTGGTGGTCGCGTTGAGGCCAAACACAACAGCAGCGTGTATCCCGCAAAGGTTGTCGCCATCCGCGCCATCAAGCGGAAACCGCAATACCTCATTCACTACGACGGCTGGAATAAGCGGTACGACGAGTGGGTACAGCAATCAGCGATCGTTCGCGGAACGCTCATGAAGCGCAAGCCCAGGTCGGAGAATGACACCCCTGGAGCCTCGCCTCCTCGATCGTCCACCCTAGCCTCAACTTCTCCCCCTCCACCGGCACCTGCCACCCGTGCATCTACCGCTTCTCCGACGCTGTCGCAGGCACCACCACCACTACCACCATCGTCAGCATCATCAACATCATCTTCTGGCAAGTCGCCTGTGATTGGAAAGCCCGAGTCTCGCCGAGGATCGGGCAAGACTGCTGCGCGCCCTGCAACGCCAACGATTGCCACTACACCCTCTGCTGCTGCCTCGACCGTAGCTTCGACACAGGCGTCTGGGTCGGCGACGCCTGTGCCGATGGAAGGGATTGTGTCAAGGACCGATTCGCCTGCACCGGGTGAGTTGGAAGAAACAGCGCCCGAGAGTGGTGGTGGCGACGACTCGCAGCCAGCGTCTGGTGCTGGGAACAAGAAGCGTGGCGGGAAAGCTGCCAAGGGTGCCCGCAAACCCACTGCTCCAGCCTCGGTTTCTGATGCCTCCGCTGGCGGCGCCGACGGTGCTTTGCCTGAAAGCGATGCGAAACAACAACCGCAACCTGCACCCGTGGACGAGCCTGTATCGTCGTTTGTGCCTGTGCCATCCACTGCTCCTGTTGCTGCTTCGCGCAAACGGACTGCCGCTGCGGCCGGTCTCGACTCGAGCGAGTCCAACGGGGCCAAGGCCACGAACGGACACGCGTCATCGGCGGATGAGGGCGCTGGGACAGACGCGCCTGTGGCTTCCGAGACTGGCAGGCGAAAGCGGCCGCCGCCAGCGGTGACACAGCCCAAGAAGAGCACTCGCTTACGAGGGCAGGAGCCCGAAGTGACCACTGTGAGTGACACCGAGGACGCCGAAGCAGACACCAACAGCGCTGCCGCAAACAACATTGTGTTGCCAACAAACGCTGAGGCGCAGACTGGTTTTCTTCCGCCGACTTCGGCCATTATCGATCCAAATACGCTGCTTGCCGCCAATGCTGCTGCGCTTGGCATTCCCGTTGCCCACCTGGATCCGTCAACCGGATTGACCGGTGTGCCTCAGCTGATGCCGGGGCTTGTTCCAGCCCCCTTGGCCATGATGATGCAGCCACCAGGCGTTCCCTCCTTGTATGCAACCGAAGAAGACGAAGAAGAGGAGGAGGAGGAAGAGGAAGAAGCCGACGAGGACGAGGAGGACGGCAAAGAATCGGCCGAGTCTTCCGAAGGCGAGCAGCAGTCTGCCATGGACGAGACATCGCAAGACCAGCAGCTATTGTTCCAGCAACAACAGCAACAGCAGCACCAACTGCAGCTTCAAATGCAGATGCAGCCAATGCACCTTGGCTATCCGTCGATGGGCCAACAGCAGCCCTCGCAATTCCTAGTCCCGCTGTCCAACAGTGTCGGTACCTCTGGCTTTACGCCCTCCAACACGCTGCCGTTTAGTTCTCTTCCTAGTGCCTTTTCGCAAGGCGGCATGCTGCCAGCCAATGGCAGTTCACTCGGGGCATCGTCGTTCGGCGTACCCGTGCACCAGCAGCAGCAGCAACAGCCACCGCAGCAACAGCCACCGCAACAACAGCAGCCGCAACTACCACCACCACAACAACAGCAACAACAACAACAGCCAGAGATGGGGAACATGTTGCCTCCAGGGCACCTTTCGCAGATGGATGCTCAGCAGCATGGCGTTGCGCCGTATGCAGAAGTCAACTACGCCGGCTATGATGGCCTCCATCAGGCAAACATGCTGGCGCAAGCGCATCAACTGCAAAACCAGCAGCTGCTGCACCAACAGCCACATCTTCAGCAACTCATAGGCGCACGACCCTGCCCAACTGGCTCATTATCAGAATCAGTCCCAGCTTCCACACCTTCCACACTTTATGCCACAACAGCAACAACTGCAGCAACAGCAGCAACAGGGCTATCAGCACAATGGTTTTGTGCCGTACGACCAGTCGCAGCAGCAGCAGCAGCAGCAGCAGCAGCAGCAGTACATGATGCAAACCGGCGGCCAGGTACCGATCGCGCCTGGAATGAGCCTTCTTCCGCCCCAACCCCAGGGCTTGTTTATCAACGACGAACTCATTGGCGAGTATGGCTCCGCGGGCATCTTGCAGGCCGCCCTCTTGTCCCCAGCTGCAAGCACCTCTCCCGTTTTGCTCTTCGGTCCGCCCAGTCCCCCTGCACACTATGGCTATGGCTATTACGAACCCGAGGTGCCCATCACCGAGCACGAGCATGCCACTCAGCAAGCAGAGTTTGCAGCGCGCACCCACCAGCTGGCTGCTACCGTCCAGCAGGCGTGTATGCGCACGCCAGAGCAGGACGCCGCCAACACTCGTCCCCAGGCCAAAGTCTTGCTGTATGGGAAGCAGTGGCTGTCGCGCCTCAATGACCAAAACCGCGAACGCATGGCCCGCAATGGCGAAGCAGACTCACAAACCATCGTGACCCGCATGAAGATGCTGCAGCGTGATTATAACAAGCACCGCTTGCATCTCCGTGCGCTCGGCCGAAAGTCTGGGCGAGATTCGAGCACAACTGCTGCAGTTGCAGCCGCGGACTTGGCCACGACGACGACGACGACGACGACGACGCGGGCCGAGTCTTTCGCGGAAGCAGCACCGTTGCCGATCGCTGCGCCTGTGGAAGCAGTCACTGTCAATGCTGCTCCCGCTGCCATGGTTGTCTAAGTGCAGCAGACCGAGCTTCACCTCTCACCCCTCTCTTCATATATCAGTCATCACCCATCATTCCAAATACGATTTGGTTTACGTTTTGTTGGCATTTCATTTTTTTTTCTTGTACTCTAAACAATACAGATTTTTCTTTGCTTTTGACGAGATGTTGTGAGCATTGATGCTTTCTGAACTGTCGAGTTGACCTTAAACTAGACTCGATCCGACCGTCAACACAAGCGAGAAAAAAAAACAAAAAAAAAACAAGAGAAACAAAAGAAGGCGAAAATGGAAATGCCCGAAACGTTATTCTCATTTTTTGGTTTGTTCAAACTACAGCAAAGAAACGCGGCAAAGCAACACAACGCACCAGACACACACACACACACACATAAACACAACACACCCTCTGTCTCCAAAACCGTTCAATACATGACTTGCGGCACAATAGTATGAATCTTGTTGTACTTGATTCCAACCTTCATGCTCTGTTGCGCTTGTGCTTGCTGAATACGCTTGTCTTGGTGCAGTTGAGCACGGGTCTTGCCGTTGTGCAAAATACTCGAGTCGTGGTAGCCGAGCATTCGGTAATTTGCTGCCAGACGGCCAATCGTTTCGGCGTCGCGCGAGTCTTGCCAGCTGAAATGCTGCTTGTAATATCGGCGCAGTGCGCGGTGTCCGAGCTTGGCACCGCTCGCCAGGGTAAGCTCCATATCGTCCTCAGAGATGACGGCGGTGCCGAGCGCGATCAAGCGCTGCTCGTCGACCTCCTCATCGGCGTTGGCGTCGGGGTTGTTGGGGTCAAAGTCAGGGTAGGTTGAGCGGAAGTCGTAATAGTCGGCAAATTCCAGCTCCTCGTCATCCTTGAGCATGCAATGTCCTTTGCTAATCATGTGCTTGCGAACAGCGCCAATCGAGCGGAAGCTGCGGCCCTTGCCGTTGCAATACAGGCAAATGTTGCCCGTGCCAATCTTCTCGCCGAGGTATTTGATCAAGCCACGCAAGTCCACAAGGTACTGCATGTCAGGAATAAAGAAGCTATGGTCGTACGCCATGTGTTCCATGTTCGCCTCAAAGCTGGCTGATTTGCGCGAGCAGAACAAGCAATCCTCCTCGGAGAGCTCGACAGCGCGAGCCAAGTACTCTGCTTCCAAATCCTCCTCCTCGTCGTCCTCTGCGGTTTCGGTGGCTGCTTCGGTTGTGGGTTTGGCATTTTCGGGTGCAGCAGCTGCTTCAGCATTGGAGGTGGCGGTGGCAGTGGTTGAAGTGGAGGCGGCGGCATCAGTGGGCGCCGTGGGCTGCTCTGCCTTGCGACGTGCAACACCATCGTCCTTCTTGTGGTGCTGTTGGGTGTTGTGCTTGCGCTCGGACGCTGCAGCAGCGGCCTGTGGTTGCTCTCCAGAAGCAGCGCGAGCCTCCGCGGCCGCAGCAGCGTCCTTGTGCTTGTTTGACTGGATGTGCGTGGCATACGTGTGCTGGGATGCAAAGTGCTTGCTGCACACGTCGCAGTTGAACTGCTGCGTGCTGGCAGCCCGCTGTGCGGTGGCCGCAGCTGTCGCGTTCTGCGACATGACGCGCTCACCAAACTGCTCTGCGCTCAGCGGCGGCATCTCGGCGACCTTGCGCTTGAGGTTGTACCTGTGTCAAAGCCCAACCATGTCAATCATGTTCACTGTGAGTCTCTGGTCGATGGAAAACCTCCGCTCGTTCTATGCGTTTTGTATTGCGCAACCATTTTATCGCCGTCTTTTTTTTTTTTTTTTTTTTTCGTTTCGGTCGACTCTTGTTTGTTTGAAACCTTCAATGAATCAATCTATTCATTGTGTTCGATTCGAGCAATCGCTGTGTGTCGTGCTGTCTGGAGCGTTGGCTTGGCTGCCAGTTCCCAAGCGCCAAAACCATGTGGAACAAAAGCAGCAAAAAGAGCGGGGCTCGGAACGCCCAGCCGCTCGAACGGAACGGCCATGTGCATTCGCTTGGAGCTTTGGTGCTGAGCTGAGTTGCGTTAAGTTGCGTTGGGTGGAGAGTGGAGCGCGCGAGCGAGCGAAGAAGAGAGAGTAGAGTGGCTGGCATTGCATCCCCATGTGGCCGAGCTTGTCCTCATCCCCATTCCCCCCCCCCATTCATTCACCTGTGCCAGTCGGCCTTGTAGTGGTCGCGCTGGGCGTCGGCAGTGCGGAAGGCAACGCGGCATGTGATGCAGGTGTAGGTCGTGGACGGAACGGCAGCCGCGGCAGCAGCTGCAGCAGCAGAAGTGACGGTCGAAGCCATTTGTACGAAAAAAAAAAAGAGAGAGACTGAGATCAAAGTCTGAGAAAAGCAAAGCACTTGAACAAAACTGGGAAAAACTCGAATGGACTGTTGAACAGCTTGGAAAAGAAGTCAAAGTTGAATGATGGCTGTAAAGTCTGAGATTGGGCTTTTGGCTTCGTTTTGTTCTCCTCAATCCTCAATGATGGATTACCTACAAACACACACTCACACACACAATGTGAGATTTGCAATGCACTTGTCGATAGTTCATCGCGCATCCAAACACGCTCACTCACTCTCCGTTCGCTTCTTGCTCGGATTTTCTCAGAGGAAGAGGTCGTCTTGCTTTGGGTTGGCCCAAACCCCCCTCCCAACCCCCATCGACTCGAAATGCTGTTTGCAGTGGTGCTGAGCTTCCTGTGCGGGGTTGCTGCAGTGCTCGTGGCTGAGCTCGCGCTGCTCCGACGCTGGTTTGTACTCAGTGGTGAGCAACTGACGACGAGCACTGCTGCTCCCCACGACGCGACCTCCAGTCTCAACCATAGTCAGACCAACCGTAATAGTAGTAGTAGTAGTCATAGTGGTAGTGGTAGTCATAACGCGGACGCGTACGCTGCCAGACTCGCGCAGGTCGCTGCGGCTCCATTGCCCGTTCCCGCGCAATCCACTCGCGCAATCTCAAAGCCAGGCAGCAACAGCACTCATCACTCATCTCCACCACCACCCAAGAGCGTCAAGGCAGTCTACCCAGCTCCAAAGTCGACCGCGGGGAGCCTGCCGTCGGTCAAGTCGCAGCTGCGTGACTTTGAGGCCGCGTTCGCTTGGAAGGCAGCTGACATTGTCGCTGCAGCCACTCACCTGACCACCGAGGCCGCCCAGAACCACAGCCATCAGGAGCGCATGCACAAGAAGCTGGGCAAGCGACTGGGCACGACGACGACGACGACGATGGACGACGCTGCCGCCCTCCTCGAACTGCTGGACGACTTTCCCATCGCGCCCCAGACGGGCCAGCGCCTCGTCTACGCCGCGATGAGCACGGACGCCAATAACTGTCGGTGGTTTAATCTGCTGGCCGCGTTCATGTTCCGGCACTTGCGCGATGCGAAAAACCTCCGCCAGTACTTTCTCAGACAAATGCGCAGGCAAATGGCGGCATTTCTGAGATCCGACGCACGCAAGGTTGTCGAAGGGATTCGACTCCGCGATTACGCGTTTGGCTCGTCGCTGCCATGCTTTAGCAACGCTCAAGTCACCACGCTCGTGACCGATCCGGGCGCCGAGCGCTTGGATTTGTGCTTTGACCTGGACTACGTCGGCGGGTTTCGCTTCACTGTGGACATGGACTTGAAGCTGGGATTTACGGCAGCCGTTTCGATTGCAGTCCAGCGCCTGGCGGGCCCAATCCGCGTCTCTGTCGGAGACGCACCACGCGCGCATTGGAGTGTCGCCTTCGTCGAGGATCCCGTCATTGAGCTCGATATCGCGAGCACGGTGGAGGGTCGCGAAATCCCGCAACTCGTCCGCGACCGCATTGTCAACCAGTTTCGGCGCGTCATTCGCCGCAAGCATTTGCTGCCAAACTTTAAGATGCGCAAGTTTCACGTTTACCGCAGCAAGCAGACCCGCGAAGAAGCGGAGAGCAGGCTCGACGCCCAGCAGCTGCGCGACCGCGAGCGCATGCGGCGACGCAAGCGGCGTCGGCTCCAGCGCGACAAGGTGGTTGATGTCACCCTCGAGGACAATCGCACCGTGCGCGTCCGGCCCACCACGGGCCAGGTCATCTCGCCCAGTGACGCCAGCAGCTCTGACAGCGACAAGGACCAGTACTCGACCGACAGCCAGCCTTCGGACGGCATTGACAATCTCTCGTCCGATTCGTCCAGCTCGTCCAGTGAGGAGGAGGACGATGGCGCCGTTGTGGTTCGCGGTGCTTCTCAGCTCGCCGACAATCCGCTCGATTCCATCATGCTGGATGAGCCCGTCGCCGACTTGGGACTGCTTGTGTTGCGTTTTGACCAAATCCTCTGGCTGCACGCCAAGCACGCTGCTTCTTCTTCCATGTCTAGCGTCAGCCAACTGACGAGTCGCTTGTCTCAATGGTTGCTGGACAACATTCACCCTGCTGGCGCCGGCTTGTCGCGGGCTTCGGGAATGCACGATCTGGCCGGTGGTGGTGGGCAAGTCCCGTCCGTGTACGCCCTCGTGTACCTCGATGATGGAATTGAATGCCGCGATAATCACCACGTGAACTGCATCCAGGCCACCCCGCCAGTCCCATTGATGGATCACACCGAGTGGTCTTCGACTCCATCCGGTTCACCGCAAGAGCGTGGCGTTGATGCCAGTCTGTCTGACACGGCCCACAATCGACTCATTTTCCGCGTTTCCTCTCGACACCGCAACCTGCATATTGTTCTCTGCTGCTCATCTCCCCTGCTGCGCGATTCCTACCTTGAAGCATTGGACGCGCCGCAAGTTCTCCCCCTGATGGCAGGGCTTTCCGGCGTCAACCCGGGGGCTATCAATCTTCTCAACCGATACCACAATGTCTGTATCGGAATGGTGTCTATTTCTGTTCAAGACTTGATTCTGCAAATGTCGACCGGGGAGTCGCCCTTCCGGTGCACCTACCGCTTGCCGCTCGCTGCCGGCAGTGAGACGCAGCAGCAGCAAGCCACATTGCGGAACGAGCGGGAAAAACGCTTGGCCCGGTTGCGCACGGGCACCGAGCCTGAAAAGCCAGACGATGCTGCCAGCAAGTCAGGCAGCTCCTCAGCTACGCCTAAAGGAGCTTCGACGCCGCATGGTCCTCCGAGCGTCGGAGGCTCCAGCACCAACCTTAGTGGAATGGGCGGTGGCACAATCCCGCCAACCGGCGCAAATTTGTCTGCATCTCGAGTCAAGAATGCCGGCAGTGCGTCGCTGTCCGGATCCTTTGCCGCATTACACCAGCCTGCTGCCCACCCTTCCAATTTGCTTGCTGAGGCATTCAGCTCGCGCCAGGCGTCTCACAGCTCTGCGTTGCGTCAAGTCTCCAATGCGAGCATAACGCATCTGCTGCCCTGGTCGTTCCTGTCCACAAGAACCGCCGATTCGTTCGACTTGAGCATGGACTTGGTGATTGCCTTTGAACGAGCCCTGCCGCTTCCGGGCGATGCAATTGCGCTGAGTGCCTTTTCAGAGTCACACGCGCCATTCCTGGAATCCGTCTTTGCAGCAGAACAGACCACCCGTGCACGCCACTTGGTGCGGCCCGCCTCGTTTGCACTCGACCGTCAACTACTGGCTGGAGGAGGAGGTGGAGGAGGTGGTGCAGGAGGCATCGCCAGACCTGCTAGTCCCACTGGCTCGATTGGAAGCACCAGCGTGAGCTCGCATGGTGGCAGCATTGGCGGTGGCTCTACCAGCAACCTGAATCTTGTCGTGGGACCCAACACTGGTCCTTCGAATGCAAGCAACGGGTCTGTCTTCATCTCGGGCATTGTCGTTGCGGACAAGGTGGCGACCGACAAGTGGCACCGCTTCGTGCTTCAGACCTTCCCTGTCGCGCCCTACTGTCGGTTTTGCTCGGGCAAAGTCTGGCGCATGGAGGCCTTCCGGTGTGAGCTCTGCAAGTATGTGTGTCACAAGAAATGTTTGCACAACTGCCTTCGCCAAACTCTCTGTCTGGGCATCGATGCACTTGGTGCGCTGAGCGATAACGTGTCTGTTCGATCCGCAAGCGGTGCACTGTCGCCCAGTGGCCAGACGTCGCCGTACAGCTTGGATGGATTGAGCGGGCGGGGCAGCCCTGCGCCCAGCGAGTATCGAGCCCACGACGACGATGACCTGGCTTTGCCGGTCGCGGATGTCGCCAGCCTTCTGGGTGAAGCAGCCGTCCCGCGGTTGGTGGTCTTGACCGAGGGGCAGGAGATTGAAGCCAAGCGAGTCGCCATGGCCGAAGGGAAGCTGCTCTTCAATGAGCTCCCAGTGCGAGAGCGAGCCGCGCGTCTGCACGAACTCATGTCTGTCATCCAGCTGGAGATTGACCTCGAAAACGAGAGTCGCGATGAAGTGACGCGTCTGCTGAACGAGATTGATAACTTTGATACGTTCAGCGAGCCTTCCATGACCGAGTCTGCCTCCGAGTCGCTTGATGTGGCGGATGCCAATGACGATGATGTTGATCGAGCCAGCGTGTCCAGCAGCGGCAGCACAACCGAGACTACGAAGACTCCGCAGCAGCTTGCAGCGCAGTACCGTCGATCCCTCTCCCGGTCGGATGAGCACTTACACTTGCTCACTCTCAAGATGATTCGCTGTTGCTCGGCTCTGAACGAGTGTGGCGAGGAAGTTGATCTCGCTCCACGCAAATAATTCCCAATGTACAGTACAGCATCTTTTAATGTCAAAACTTTCTTCCAGTAGCAGTGCAACTTTGCAAATTGACCAGGAAACTCATGTAATCAAAAAAAAAGTATGTGTATTGGTTGGTGGTGTGTGGCTCTAGTGCAAGCCAGCAAAAGTATTTCAGCTTGGTTGCTAGATTAGCAAGTTGCCAATTGCTGGATCAAGGCACTCAGTTTGGCCGTGTAGTCCTTAATGGAGGACACTGCATTGGGTTGTGTTGCGAGCTCGTTCGGCAGAACCAAGTGGTCTACCAATACGTGGTTTAATCCTTGGTATTCTTGCAAAATGCTGTTCAATGCGGGGGAGTCTATCATACCAATCGATTGTCAGGATGTTGCTGTTTTTTGCTACATTTCAAGGACACGCTGCAACTTACCGTCCTTGATAGAGGACATCGAGTCGAAAGCCGCACGCAGCGATCGGATTGTGGCCGTGTACTTGTCGGATGCCTGCTGACGCTCGCGGATCTCGGCCAAAGAGGGCTCGGGAGGAGATTGCTGTGGGTGCGTCTGAGCACTTCCAGAGACTGGGTGGTTGTCATCTTCTTCTTCGTCATCGTCGTCGCCAACAGGACCAGCGGAGAACCGATCAAGACGCGATGCGGGGCGCGAGGAAGCATGCTGTTCGTCGTCATTTCCAGAGAATTCGTCATTCTCATTCTGATTTTCCTCTTCGTCTTCGTGATCGGCGAGCGCAGTGTCGATGCGAAGGAATTCCTTTGAAATTTCCACATCAGAGTAGTAGCAAGGAATGTTTTCCTCGTTACGAAAGTGCAGCACGCAAAGATACTCCTTCAGCTTGCGCTCGTCTTGATAGTTGGCAAACCATTCTTGAATTTCCGTCTCGAAGCGCTCAACCAGCTGGCCGCACTGTCATAGCGAAATCCCAACGACAAGTACACGATTATTCAAGCCGATTGCAGCAGTTAGGGAAGGGGTGAGAAATCCAGGAGGGGGATACAACACCAACAAAAAGAGCAAAAACGGAACCTTTCTCTTGTATTGACTTACAGCAACTTTCAGTTCGTTGTGATCGTCCGTCATGTGGCCAAACTGATTGAGAAGCTGCTCACGCACATTCATGAGAAGCTCTGTGGGCGAGTCCCTGAAAGAAGGGGGCACACGAACAGAACGGCAAAGGTTGCGCAAGTCAGAATACATTGACCCATTCCCCTCCTCCAAAGAGGCGAACACCAATGACTACTAGACTAACCCCTGAGCATGTTCGACTTGAAACATATCGGCTTCCTCTTCCTTGTTGATGGTTCCAACGCGACGGATGAACTTTGGCAAATCCTTGTTCCAGTAATTGGTGCGATACTTGTCGAGTGGAGTTCCGCAAACTCGCTCCAATGCTTCGATAAGACGCACTTCCCTACGGAAGTGAACACGGAGATGGTGCGGACATCCAGATACCCATCCAATAACAGCCAACAATTGTCAGTGAAAGCTCCGACTAAGGCTGGAACTTTGCCGAAACGCTTCACGTACGAGTTCTTGTAGGCAATTCGTTTCTTGGCCTTCATGTCACCCTTCAGATCCATCGTGTATCCCGTTGACAGCACGCTTTTCGATCGCGCTGAACGTGCCAGGTCTTCTTCGAGCTCGTCCACAACAATTTCGCAGACTGCACACCAAGAAAGCAAAAGGCAAAGGCAAGAAATCGAATGAGTCACGCACCTCTTCAGTACATTTGCGACCAACTCATTGTCTCAGATCGTCACACAGCCACGCAATCCATCCAAATCTGGCGAGTGCGAGGCATTGACAGCTCTCCCCTCGCTCTCTCCCCTCGCTCTCTCTCACGGACTCTCGTCGTTCAACCCAATGCCACTCTTTCATTCGCTTCTTTTCTTTGCTTGTATGAAATAATGCAACGATCGAATGAAAACGAAAAATAATAATAAAAAATAATGGAAAATCAAGCAATTAAAACCAAAAGAATTTCAAAACAAAAAAAATAAAAAAATAAAAAATAAAAAAATGTTCTGTTTGTGATTTTTGCACTTTTGCATTGTGTTCGTCGCTGTGAAGGCTGTGAAGGCTGTGAAGCTGTGGTCGAGGGAGGAATGGGGGTTGGAAGGAATACAAGTCAACAGGCTAAGCCCCAGACCAAGTGCCAAAGGGGGACGAGGTGGGTTGCTGAAAGGGCGCTCCAGCCAACCACTGTTCGCCACGCTCCTCTTCATCACTGAACGAAAGCGAAGCGAGCAGACCGAAGCGAGTCGACGACAAGAGAAAGAGAGAGAAATGCAAGCACAGTACCATCGCAGAGATCCTCGCGATCCAGGAGATCAATGTTGGCGCGAGCGTGGGGCAGCACAACAAGCAGCACCATTGCAGCAGCCCCAAGCAGAACGACACTCCACCGCATTATTATTGGGATTTTAGGACTGGTCTGAGATTCAAACAGCAGTACCAAAAAAATAAAAATAAAAATAAAAGGTTGATCCGATAAATTACAGTTGGATGCTCGAATGGGACTGGGAGAGAGCGAGAGAGCGAGAGAACGGGAAACGGAGGTCGAGCATAGCCTGAAATCACGATTGAAGCATCCAGGAGCAGATTCTGAGAATGCATTGTGAAGAATGTACAAACACTCTTGTTGGAAATGAGCTGCCAGCAAGAAATACGGTTGGCTCAAGAGAACTCTTTCAAAGCAAAGCGGAATGCAAAGTTGTTGAGATATGAAAAACGAGCGCTCTCGATAAAGTTTTCATGCAGCAGGTATAATAAAGCAACTTGTACAAATCGAATGCAAAGCCATGGATGCCTTTTGGTTTCAGTACTGCCACTGGAAAATGGCAAAGAAGAAAAACAGGCAAAAACACAAAACAGCATAGGCATTGGGAGAATCTTCAAATCTCCACAAAAAGCAAAAACAGCAACTCAAACGGCAACAAGAACGAACAGAACAAAAGCGATCCGAAAACTTGGGCAAACAACGAAATGGAATGGCTCAAACGTCGGGCTAGAAGGTCACGTACGAGTCAGCTGGAGTGCTAGGGCTTGGGGAGTGAAACACTGGCGTCTTGTAGACCACTTGCTCATCAGCGGGCAGTTCTGGGGTTGGTTCATAGACTGCATTCTGCTCCTGCGAGTTGGCGTACTGGACGTGCGATGAAGAGCTCGCTTCCGCGGGCTGAGCGTTCGGCAAGACATAGTTTGCAACCTCATCTGCTCCCGCGTTAGCAGACTGCTCCACAGCCTGAGAGTTGGCATACTGAACAGGTGATGACGAGCTCGCTTCGGCGATCTTCGCGTCAGGCGAGACATAGATAGCACCCTCATCGTCTGCGGCTCCCTCCGAGGCTTCAAACACTGGATTGTTGTAGGACACTTCCGCATGATCATCGGTCGCCATGTCGGAGTTTACAAACACGGGGTGTGCATATCCGAAGGCAGGTGCGGCAGGACTGTCGTAAACGACGGCGGAAGAACGCTCTCCGCCAACAAGTGTGGCGTAAGGTACCTCATTCCTCTGGAGAGTGTCATACTCGGCGCTAAACGCACCAAACGACTCGTTCGAAACAGTCGTATTGAACTTGTAGGATGTAGCACTCGGTTGACGAAGAATTCCAGGGACGAGGAAGAAACCCGAATCCCTCTCGTGCAGCGACTTCTGCTGGTTCGTTGAGCGGCGACGACGTGCAAGCACTAGTAGGAGAAGCACCAGGAGAAGGAGCAAAAGTCCTCCCGCACCAGCACCAGCCCCGATCGCTATGATCGTAGCGGAGTCAGACGACGGAGTTTCGATGAACTCGCACCGAGCGGTGAAAGTAGCATTCCAGGAGCTCGAAGAGTTGCAGAAGAGGGCACCCGTGTAACCTCCGACAAGCTGGTAACCCGAATCGCAGGACGAAGTGCATTCAGAGCCAAAGTCGGTCGAGTTGTTCGTGCAGTTCACGGTGCCGTGCGGAAGCGTCAGAACGTCGCAGGCAACAATGGTGCACGAGGCGTCCATCGGGCGGTCCCACTCTCGTGTCGCCAGGCACTCGACAACATCGGCGTAGTCTCCTCCAAGCGAGTAGCCGGGGTTGCAGCTCGGGATGCACTCAGATCCGTAGTTTGTGTTGTCGTTGGTGCACAGAACAGCACCGTTTTCAAGCGTCAGAGGATCGCACGATACAATCGTGCATTCTGCTTGCAGCGTTGCGCTCCACTCGCGCGACGCCTGACACGTCACAGGATTTGTGTTGGCTTCGCCAAGGGTGTAGCCTGCATTGCAGCTCGGTGTGCATTCCGAGAGGTAGTTTGTGTTGCCATTGGTACAGTCGATGGCACCGTTTTCGAGAGTCAGAGGGTCGCACGACACAATCTGGCAGTGCGCAGAGAGGGTTGCGTTCCACAGCTGCGAGGCGTTGCAGCGCACTGCGCCAGTGTAGTCGCCCTCCAGTGTGAAGCCGGCGTTGCAGTACGGGGTGCACTGCGAGTTGTAAGCGATCGTTCCTCCAACGCAGTTCAGTCCACCATTACCAAGAGAAAGCGCGGGGCAGGCGATCGGGTCGCAGTAGAACGTCTCGGGACGTGACCAGGTGGTATCCGCTTTGCACACCGAATCGACAGTAGCAAGTGGCGCGTAACCACGCAGACGGAAGCCAGCGTTGCAAGAAATGGTGCAGATACCACCAAGCGAGTATCCATCACAGTTGACAGCTCCATTGGTTGGCGCTGCCATAGTGTGCGGGCAATGTTCCGCATACAGAACACACGTTGGTGTCGCGCGCGACCACACACCGACAGAAGCAGTGCTGGACAGGCAAGTGACTGGAACAACACGCTGCGATGTGCCGTCCACGACATAGCCCGAATCGCAAGAGTAGGTGCACACTGTTCCGATGCTGCGAGTGGTCGGCTGGCAGCTCACGCTGCCGAGAGTGATTGAGGTTGGCGGGGCTGGGCAGTAGTTTGTGATAGTGTTACAAGAGCTCGAGTAAGAGGACCAACCGAAAGAGCTAGTGTAGTCTGAGCAAGTGATGGTTGCGGCGGCAGACAGCTGATATCCATTGTTGCAGCTCATTGAGCAAGTTCCCTGATCTAAAGGGCATTGTCGAAACAAAAAACAAAAAAACGAAAACAAACACAAACGATCATTTTGATGAGTTTTTGCATGCGGGCGCATCCTGACAGTTGAACAGCATCAGTACTCTTACAAGTCGTGCTCCCGCATGTGAATTTGCCATTTGCTGGATTGCTTGGATTGCCACAGTTGATCGTGTTGCATTGGAAATTGCGCGTCGACCAAAACTTGTTTGACTGACACGTAACAGTGCCTGAAGCGGATGTTGAGCGAGTGCCGGTGGCACACGAATGACTGCAAACGCCACCAACTGTCTGTCGGTTGCAGTTCCACGAGCCAGACGTGAATGATGCAGGGAAACCACACGACTTGGCTGCCATCCTGCAGCAGGTGTACTTCCAGCGCCGGTCCTCATTACTGTTGCTGTTAACTGCAAGCCATTCAACGCAAAGGGGTCAGACACAATCTTATGATCCACCAATCGTACGATTCTTTACCTGAAGACATGCCAGCGATAAACTGAAAAGACTGGGGGCAGGTGTAGTCTAGACTTCCGTCAAAGTTGTTCACTTCGGCAGTCGTCGAACACCCACCCGTGTACTCGAACTCGGGAATCATTTGAACGGTTTTCACTTGATAAAGACGATCTTCTTTCGAGCCCCAGTGGCGCGAGTTCATCCCGTAGATTGTTCGACCTCCTGTCACAGTCCAGCTGAAATCCTGTCGTACCAACAGGCATCAGCTCCAGATCAACACAAGCTACATCCATCCTGAATGCGAATCCAAAGCTTATTACCTTATCCCAATCGTTCATCTGAAAGTAGTTTTGGTCGGGAACGTTCCCTTTCGTGATTTGCTCGCCAGAATGCGTGATGCAACTCCTGCGATACTTCCACCAACGGTCTTCATGGCCGTTATCGTGCTCGGATTCAAACTAACAGCGGATTTACACAGTCAGCGCCAGCACATCATGCAATGCAACGCTCCCCGTACTTACGCCCTTGAACCAGCATTGCACTTCCGTGCCCACATCGGCCGATTCCCAGTTGCTGTTGTCCATCGTGAACAGATGATACCTATATTGCGACAAAGTAAGTCAATTGGAGCAAACGCACCAACAGATCCTCGCGAATTGCAAACGTACCATCCATAGTCGGTATCGTAAAAGGTCGCTGTCAAGAGAAGAAGACAAAGTTAGATCGACAACTCCCGCGGCTTCACTTTCTCAATCCCAGCAACACCCCCCCTCTTCGGCTGATCTCTACACTGCTGAGCTCGAGCTTGATCAACAACCGCTATCCCAGATCGAAATTTCTGAAGCACATTCTCCTGCGCAAGCCACGCACCGCTGCGGTTTTGAGAAGGGTTTTTTTTTTTTTTTTTTTTTTGCTTTGTTTTTTTGGTTTTTGGAATTGTTGTTGCTTTTGTTCGGTTGTGGTGGGGTTTTGTTCCGCGTCCGTCGAAATGCGAGAGAGGAAACATGACAGAGTAGCGAAGAACACAGATCAAAGTCACAAACGTCCCTTTCAACTGAAGACAGTCGAGCTCCAGCAAGAGCAAAAACAACACACAAACGGGAAAAAAAAAAAAAAACACGGGAATCAACACCTCGCGTCAATCAGGCGACCGAATGACCCGCACGCCTCGCTGTGGCGCTCTCCATCGCTGTGGCGCTCTCCATCAGTGTCTCGCTCGCTCTCAAAGCTCCAACAGGCTCGTCTTGGTATCTGATTGCACTGGTGCGGTTTGTCGAGTGTTGTCTTGATCGTGAAACGATTCACACTTGACCAAAAAGAATAAAAAAAAAACTACAAACCTGCTTCATTAAAAACGGTCCGCAATAGCGTTCAGCCCACGCTCGCTTGCGTACGGACAGTCGCAATAGATCGCGTCAGGGACGGCAGTGATGACAGTGATAAAGATGGTTGTGGAAGTGAAGGTGGTCGGGATGGTGGTGATCGGGATGGTTGGAGTCGAGTGGAATGAGGTTGGGTGCGGTGGGTTTGGGTGCGGGGTGGGATGAGTAATCGCATCAACACTGTCAAGCTGAGTGGATGATGATGTGCAAGATACTGCAGTGTTCTGCGTCGGAGATAGGAAGTGCAAGTTGCGGATTTGGTACGCACCGGAAGAGTTGTGGACAAGCGCCGCAAGCACCAAAAACGCGACAGTTGTCACCAGCCGACCTGACAGCATTGTGAAACGAGAGAAAAAAAAAAAAAGGTGAAATGCGTCCCCACAAATCCACAACGGAAAGTGGTGATAAGACAGTAGAAGCGGCAGACAGCTCAAATGGGGCCGCTTGCAAGCGGACTCAAACGTGCATCAAGATTGACGTTGCAGCAAAATACATTGGCATGAACGGGCGAGATTCACAAAGCAGAATTAATTTCGAAAAGGTTTTGTACACGGCCAACGAGTCATGCTGCAGTCTGACGTAAGACCGGCATGTGGCACGAAACGATGAGAGCAACAAACAACAATGGAATGACAACGACAATAAAAAGTTCAAGCGAAAATGCGTAGACACAACCAAAAACGAGAAAGAATCGAACGGCGCCAGTTGATGCGAA